CACCTTCTTCAGTAATTTTCTTTGCTGTATAATTCAAATTGAACGTAAATTTGCGTGCTCTGCAGTTTCTAACCTCACGTAAATTTTTGTTTGCACAAGTTTTACTTCATACCAGATCTTTTTGTTCTTATAAATCTTTGCTAGTTTTTTGTTTTGTAAATATTTTGATTGATGCTTCCATCACAAATTGTCTGATGTCCTATCTTCATCTCAGATAATTCTTTGCCGTTTAAATATTTCACGAGGGTGAATGGTGAATTCAAATGTTGTTTATTGCTCTTTTGAAACTTTAACACTTGTGCAGTTGTCGTTTAATATCGGAGTTATAGAAATTGGACATTTAAATGGAATTGAGGTAAATAAAAATAACACAATAACACTTGGCGGAAGCGGAGTGCGCGGTTCCCTGTCGAGCCGTCGGATTTAGGATAGAAGTCAGGGGAACGGTCGGCATGACGTGACGCTGTCAGCTTATTTATATGTAGCTGTGATTTCCAACCACGAGTTTGCGACCGTAACGGTCTGGGTAGCGTGGCACGTTTCTTCGTTCGACGGAGGGGTGCTGGGCGGCAGTGTTTGAGATAGATAGATTCGCCGTCGTGGGGGGAGAACAGCCACGACCGGGAGCCCCAAACTCCGCTCGTGCTACAACGTCCCTTATGGGTATTTGAAATAAAGTTTTTTTTGTAGCTGAGCATTAAACTGTGTCTTCAGCGGGCACAACTTAGTAGCAGTTTTTTTTTCTTTTTTTTTGCCAGTGGAGGAATAAATAATTTTGTGTCCTCCATATATTTTGTGTTTTATTTAGCGGTTCTTTTCCAAGCTTGGGGTCCACCATTTGCATCTGAACGCATTCCGCCATTCTTGAAGAACATAACGTAGGGTTCGATTTTGTCAGACGATCACAGCCAAGGCCAAATTTTTAAATTTTTGAATTTTTCGCGGGCTCTCATTTTTTAATTCACATGTCAGTTTAAGGCGGGATGCTTGGGTTATTACAACGGGGTGACTCAAAAAATTAATGAATGTGTCAATTTATTTTATTGAGCAAAACCGAATGCTTTGAAATCTTGCAAATCTTTTAAAGTTACGGTAAGCGTTGTAAATTTGTATTCAAAATGTTTATCCTTTCCAAAAAATTGTTGACGTCATCTCAAAATTTCGCTGAATAAATCGTATTGAAAATGTGCAAAATATGATGAATCTATACTAAAGTGGTTCATCATTGCATTCATTTTTTTTAGAATTGTTTATCCAGGGTGACTCAAATAAATTAATGAATGGGTCAATCCATTATATTGATTAAACCAGAACGGTTCATTCCATTTTTCGACTTATAGGGATTCTCATAAAAAAGTAAAATGCGCGAAACCAATTTTATAATTTTTCGGAAAAGCTGGATTTTATTGTACACACTTCAGGGGCGAGGGAAGTTCTATTGAAATACCCTTCGACCAATTTTTGTATTTTCTTTTTGAAATGCGATGGTCCGAAAAAATTTGTAAGTGTAACTAATGCGTTGATTAATGGTTTATTAACTGAGTGTCGACGTTTTTTAATTACACTGGCTGCAAGCCTCGATTTTAACTACTAAAATAACTACTATAAGTACCAGGGGCGGCTTGTCCTATGAGGCAGGTGAGGCAGTGCCTCACCAATGAATTTTACGCCTTATTAGGATTTTTATTATTTTATACGGACACATTTCGGCCAATAATTTGTGTCTTTTTTCTAAAATTTTAAAAATAAATATAGAAAATTATATTCTTATTTTTATCTCGGTAGGTACTCGTTGCTCCCTTAATTAAACAGCGCGCTTAAACACTCGGCACAACATGTATTTTGTGACGCGAATGAGGCCGACTCGAAGCTTGCCTCTACAGCATATATAGAAATCATGTCGTTAATAGGCAAGCAACCTGCAATACACTTATAAGCGGTATGAGTTGAAAAAAGACAAAATTGAGGCTAGCCTCATTTCCGTGCTTGCAAAAGAGATGGACAACTATATTATTTGCGCGCGGGGAACGTGCGATTGCAATGCAGTCTGCATTCGCAAGAGTATTCAAAATTAGGCCGTTGATTGTTTTGCCACAAATCTGTGTGTGTATAAATTGATTCAAAATTTCGGTAACAGAATTTTGTCTTAAAAGTGCCTACGTTTGCGTGGGTCGCGTTAGTGCTTTGTGCTTGTCATAATTTGATTTCGGTAATCGTTATTTAAGATTACGAGTAAATCGGAATTTTTCTCTACTAACGTTAAATGACAATGGCAGTTCTGTTTTTTCTACTTTCACGTATGATGATAAATTGTATGTAGTTAAGGAATTAAAACCGCCGGTTCCTGATTTGAGTAAATCGTTAATTGATCCATAAAAAAAAATTTAAAATAAATCCGTATTTATATTTTATATTTTTTTCATTTTGTTTTTTGTTATAAATCAAATTAGCTTTATTTTATGTTGTATTTGATCTTTTTCGATATGTTTCCTTTAAAGTTTATTTTAATTTTGTTTTTTGTTAGAAGTTATATTAGTTTTTTCTGACCACGCTTCCCTTTCCTTTTGTCCTGTCATTCTCATCCTTTCCTTGCAAGACCTCCTTACACCTTCACGTTGGTTCTTTGTGGACAGTTAAATGAGTTTACAAATTTGTTTATTTGACTAAATAGAAAATATTTAAGTAAACTTGATTTATTTATATTTTAGAGCGTTTTGTGCTGTGCCTCATCAATTTTTCAAGTCATGAGCCGCCCCTGATAAGTACCCATTAATTATATTCAGTTATTAATTGACTAATAACATTAATATTTATTAATTTCATATTCATGTACATAGATGGTAACAAATAAATGAGCTGCTGCGTAATTGGGTGCTAATTAACGCAAAGTCTACAGCGTGCTCAATAAATACCTACTGTTTCAGTTGGTATCAATGAATTTTGCTTGAAATTGACCAGTAAAGTGAATGACGCGCGAAATTTGAACTCAGTTCATAACACGAGACCCGTATTTCAGTTCCCCGTGTAATCCTTATGGGTGAAATCGAGGCGTCACTTTAACGCTTAAATTGTACCATTAAAGTAATTTTCTTATATATCCCACTACCTGTACCATTAAGACTGATATTTTTACTGTTGATCTTGATACCAAACATGAACGGAACCGGTAGTATTTAATAAATATTTAAATTCAACTTTTACCACTACATTTGCCTCGAACGTATGTCGTACAGTGGTTCATACTGCCATTGACTTCCCCGTCCACATAAATGGCTTTGATTTTCAGATGCTACAGATACGGCTGTGAATCTAAAATAATACATAAAGATCTCATATTTACAAATGTTTTCAATCAATTGCCAAATTTTGATTTAAGAATCATCATCAATCCCAAGCTTTTTTCTTTTCACACATTTTTGCTAGAAAAGGAAAAACTTAGCATTCCTGATTAAACCTTTCATGTACAAGTAAAAATCACTTTCATTTTAGTGCGAATTGGGTCTGAAACACCCATTTAAAAAAAAATCACAATTTAAAGAACAATTTATTTCAAATCAAAAAAGTATTTTACAATAAGAAATTGCACTTCCTAATGCAAAATCTGATTCACTTTTGGTGAAAAACTGACCCACAAACTGTTTTCTTGATGGGCCATTAAAATAGTCCTCGGACACTAATAGTTCTTCGACACTGTGAAGTAGATTTTCTTCAGATCTTTCTAGTTCAGGACCCAATAGCAAAAGCAGTGCTTCGCTCCTATCAGTTTGTCCTAAGCTTTCATGAAGTTGTACCTCAACATTAGCTGTTTTTAGGCTGACTTGGGGATTAAAAGAATTTTCAGAGACAACAGCTCGGACCTCAGCTGATTCACTTTTCTTCAGATGTACGTCTCAAGCACGCAAATTATTGGTCCACAATACATTATAACGTCCGTGTAGGGCAGATGTAGCCATATGGTGATATACAAATGCACCTCTTGGGGTTTCACATGTTGTCTCTCTTAAGGAATATCTATGCATAATAAAACAAAATACGTCATAATTTTACTTGGCACAGAATTTATCAATATACATTAACTTACCATAATCTTCTCGCATTCTAGCTCGAATAAACTCTTCAAGCACATTTAATTCAGTATACCAATTGACTTTCGCTACATTATTTGACTGTAAAGAATTTTCTCGAACAAAAAAAAATGGCAATTGCCCCTATTGTTAACACATGTCTTTCTGTCATTATTAATAACAAATACAAAAAAACCAGTCCACAGATACATACAACCTAATGTGAATCAATATCACAGAACTAATATATCATCCAAAAATTGTGATTATGATTGTTGTGATGAAAATACGAAATCAACTGTCATATTTTGGGGATTTTCACGATCTAAACGTCACTAGTACCGCAAAATATTCGCGTTCTTTTTCTTTCCCAAGTGTTTCTGGATTTTCCGTTTCACTCATGCGCAAGACGTTAGAAACGATGTACGTTACTTCGATGGATAGCGTTATTTTTAATTTGCAATATATCTTTAACAGAAGCTTTTTATGTAGTTAAACCTTTAGTAACAGGAAGATAATTGTACAGTCTTTATCGCTTGTAGCATGAACTAGTTAAGATTTCTACCTATGCGGCGTATTTTGTCTGTAAAATCAAGCTCCCATAAGAAACCCATAGTAGAATTTTTGAATTATGAACTGCCGCGCATTCTAAATTCTAACCTCACTTTACTGGTCAATTGGTAACCTGTAGCTCTACTTTACTTCCTATTATTAAAAGGATTATTATTATTATTAAAAATAATGTCATAACCAAGCTTCCTTTAGCGCTTGCAAGTGACACAGCGCCAAAGATTTGAAACTTCTCTCACAATTAAGAGTTAAATCTGTTGCCAACTCGTTTATCACGCTGTTTAAATTACCCTCGTTGCAGGTACACCAATACAGAAAACTTGATACCCAACTCACCTCAAATCCCCTAAAAATTTGACGTTCGTTAAAATCTAAACACAGTTCAAGGTTATAACGTGATGTAGCTACCTGTCAAATTAGTAAATAAATAATTAAAAAAGAAATATTTGTTTCCAACGGTCATGAGTGGAAATAGCTATGGTGGTTATTATTACTCCCCGAGTACCCAAAATTTTCCAGTGGTCAGTTGAATTTCCTTTGCATGACCTCATTATTATGCACAAAAATACATTGTTTATTTTTTGTAGGATCCAAATCAAACTTGGAGCGAGTGGTCATTAGAGCAGCAGCAATATAATAATAACGTACGAAACACGATACAACACCACAATAGTCCATTAAACCACACGAACAATCATTCAAATGCTTATGGAGCACCTAATAGAGCTCAGAACTTCTATAATCCAAATACCAGACATTTCCAGCAGAGACGGTAACATCGTGATTTTAGTGATACAGTGTGGTTTTAGTTGCGACTTTTCTAGGTTTAACATTTCGAATCAATCATTTGCGGGAAGTCAGCAATCTTCTTGGCAGAGAAATAGTTACAACAAAAGGTCACGACCACAGGACTCACCAGGTGATAATGGAGAACCTAAAAGTAAGTCATCGAAAAAGAAGAAAAAGCCCTTGTCACAAAATGTACCTAGTAAGAAAGACTGGACCCTTGAAGAGGCCGAATTGGCGTTATCAGTGGAGAAAGAGTATAACAAGCGTTACAAAAATCATTCATTAATTATTAAGTTTCCTGACCAAGAACTAAATAGAGACATTGTTTCTAAATTCCATCCGAGTATAGAAAACGTGCATTTTCAGCAGCCATCAACACCCAGGTTTTGTTTTGTAACACTCCAGGAAACAGCTGATGCTGACGCCGTTATAACTGCCTTGAATAAAATAAAGTTTGGTGAAGGGTACCTGACAGCTGAGTATAAAAAAGATCGCGAAGAAGATCAAAATATTGGCCCTGAAGACATCGACCCCTGCACTTTGTATGTTGGCAATCTTGCTCAAGAAATTACAAAAGAAGATATGGTGAAAACTTATCCTAAAGGACGTCGAATAGACATTGGATATGCAAAGAAAATGAAATATACACGCTATGCTTTTGTCTCATTTAAAAACGTCAGTGATTCAGTAGAGGCCTTTAAAAAAACGCACAGCACGCAAATGTACTCAAAAAGTTTAATTGTTAGGTTCAGAAGGTTGCACGGCACTGTTGGTATGCCTGGAGAGTCTAAACCACAAAGTCCTGCCAAAAAATCGGATACAAATACGCCAGAACCTACAAATAATGAACGATCTGAGCACAGTAACAGTACAACCACTGAGTTGCCTGAGCTTCAAAGTAGCAGAGCTAGTGATACACATTCAGAGGTAGATTTGAGTGTAGTGAAGCAAGAAGTTAATAGTTCAGATGATGAAATAAGTGTAGAACATAAATCACTATCTAAACGTTATGAATCACCATTCATGCCAGGTTCCATTAATGTAGCTTTTGAGCAGCACAGACCTATTAAAAAAGAAAAAAGAGAAGTTGGAGATGTCGGCGATTTACTATATGGACAAAATGATGTCAGTAGTGAAAGAATGAACTCTTTCCTTGGTAGCACATCACAGACACAACCGAATGGTTCAAAAATGTCGATAAAAACTGAACCACAAAGCAATACAGCAACAACTGTAAAAAGTGAACGCAATGATGAAGGTAAAAATTTTAATTTCTTGTACTTTGATAAAATTCTTGTGATTTATTTCCAGATGATTCTTCTGATGATGATGAAGGTGGTGGTGGATTAAGTGATGTGGTAAGAATTACTAGACCACCTTAAATGTTAGTGTAAAACCCTCTCTTCTTTCAGAATTTCAGCAGTCTTTTGAATCAGCTAGATCATCATTCCAGTCAGATTGAAACTTTGCGTAAGTGGGCCCCTTAATTTTTATTTATTATGTATGTATGTTTTTATGTAATGAATAGGTTGTCTACTGTAATTTTAATAAACATATTGTGGTATTAGTGCTGTATTATTCCTGTTAACAGCTAATGAAAGTAATTAAATTTAAACTCGCCAAAAAATAAACTTTAATTTCTCAAATCACAGTTGCCTGCTTATCTAGTTTATACAATATTTAAGCTGGCTGTTAAACTTAGTTAAAATTGGTGCATAAGAACATGGGGGTCATATAAACTATAACAAACATTTTATTTTAAATGTGATACACTAACTAATAACTAAATAGAATAAGCAAACTGGAAAAAGCAAAAATTATTCCTTACCCAACTGCAACAAATTCAAAGCCTTATTTAAATTTTCGATTGCAGTTTTAACATCATCATAGTTAAGCGCTGACGTAGCGTATTTACAGTATTTCTGCGCTTTTTGTATCTCCTCGGGACCTGGATTACCAGGGCCAGCTGCAGGATTTGGAGTTGAGATGGACGGTGTCATAGGTTCTGGTTGCGGGGTGAACGGTTTTGGCTCCGGTGGAACAACTGGTGTGACAGGCGAAGAAGCCGGTGCTGGACCAGTCGGTAAATTATACCCTTGACTATTAGGGAAATCTCGGTATGAACGTGGCGAAATAACAAGATCATTTTGTGAAGGTTCTTCATCACCTTCCTTTGTAATGTCAATCACGTTCTTCAAGTGTTCATCTGGCCCGCCAGCAGTTGGCGTGTCCCCGGATTTCAGACAATTGTGAATGTACGCTGCCTTCCACTTGGCATACTTTTTCTTCTCGATGACGTCTTCAGTCTGTTCGCCGAACTGTTCTAGAATGTCCATTAAAATTCCTGCTGTATAAAATGCTTTTATCATGTTCCTGCAAGAGATTACATTGTTAAATATTACAATAATGACAAACATGTATACTTGTTGAAATTCTCAGCTCGGTCTTGTCCATCCGCAAAGGTAAAAAGTTGCATAGCGTATTGTTCGATCATTGCTTGGGCAACCGTTTCACTACTAATCCCTTCTACGTCATGGTGCGCTTTTTTCGTTTCTTCTAACCAGTCCATTAAGGCAATCAGTAAAGCGGAAACTTCGGGAGGTTTTTTCCCTGGGATTAATTTCATAGCTGTTTGACAGGCGTACATACGTGCTGGAAATTTGAATTATAATCATGGAATAGAAGACATGAGTTGCTTACCCCAATAACTGACGACTATATTGCGGTTGTCATGTTCATCCGCAACTTTTAATACGTGGGCAATTGACTTTATTATAGGAGGCACAGGCGGAAAACCCATCGTAAGCACGTTAGATTATTTATAAAACTTACAACTAGCTCTTCTTTCTCGTTTAATTTCAGTTTTGAACTGGCATTTTTATCGTTGACTGTTGACTCTTGTATTGACAGCTAAAATTATTTGACAATTGATGCCAGTCTGTCAAAAGTGTCAAAAAGCTAACCTGCAAAGCTTTATTTGTTTTAAAAATTGAAATTGTTGCAATTCTTGAACAAAAGTTGCTGTGATAAAACTCGACGGGAATGTTATGAACAAATAATATCCCTGCTGTCTGGAACTAACACTTGTAATTATCTGAATCAGGAAGTGTCTCCGGTGCCGAAAGCGGTATTTAACAAAACGAACATTTTACATTGAAACGAAAAAAAGAAATAAAGTAGTCTGAATCCCTGGTCTGAATGATAATACACAGTACCAAGCCTGGTGGAGGTCTATTACTCTATTATTTGCTTTGGCTACACTTGCGTTCCTAAGGCTTACTTCCCTCCTCACAAAGCTCACAAAGGAGGCAGTAACAATCCAGTGTTGCGATAAACATTCGCGTGAACAATGACGCGATTCCATGAGTTTATTTCGGCTAAAGTTAAAATCTGCTGAATTTTGACGATGACAAAATGAGTACTACAGTTACAAAGAAGAAAGCAAGCAAAATTTAATTATGGCACAGTCTATCAAGAATTATGTGATAACCCAAACATACCCCCTTAAAATGACATGTGAAAAAAAAATTGAAAAACCCGTGAGAATTTGAAAAATTGGCCTTGACTGTGAGCGTCTAACATAATGGAACCCTACATTGTGTTTTTTTTTTTGTGGCTTAATGCGTTCAGATGCAAAGTGGTGGAACCCAAGTTTGGAAAAGTATCGCTAAATAAAACACAAAATACATGGAGAACACAAAACGTTTATTCCTGCGACTAAGTTGTGCAGATTGAAGACCTCTTAGTTCTCAGCTATAAAAAAAAATTGGTCTAAAGAGTTTAGACAGTACTTCCCTCGCTGTCGGAAACTTGACGACTGCATGGCTATTGTGTTTTTTTCTCATTACATTTTTGTAGTAGGAATTTAAAAAAAAATTGCGATGACGTCAACATTTTTGCAAGGACACGTATATCAGTTGGGATAGATGTAGTGTAATACTAAGAATAAAATTATTGTATTCCCAATTTTTGGGGAAAATGAATTGGGTCGTTTTGAATATTGATTTTTTATAATCAATAAAATAACGAAACAATTTACTCACGTATACGGCAACTGAAAATCGTTTATGTATAAACATTCTTAATTTAAGATGACAAGCGTAACAGCATACGTGAGAGTCAAACAGAGAAACTGTAAACAAAACGACCATCGGTTTTATTGCTTCGACTTCCGCTTATTATATAAAACATTGGGTTTTATTTTAATTCTTGACGGTGAAATTCACAATTGGTTGATTATAAACATGTCTATTTCACATTCGCGGAACCAAGTGATCGCATAAAACAAATGCAGGTCTGTAATGTTAAAGTCGATGTAAATAAGCGTGCTACCCTTATGTTTCAACCGAGTTTTTCCTTTAACAAATTTTGTGTCTACCAAATTGGGTTGGTTGAGGTGTAATACTAATAATAAGTGTTGCCTTTAATTTAATCAATAAAATAAATTGACTTCATTAATTTCTTTGAACCACCTCTTAAGAAAATCTAAAAAATATGAATGGAATGATAAATCACAAGTACAAACTCATCATATTTTTTGCATTTTAGATAGGATTTATTCAGCAAAATTTAAGGGTGACGTCATCAATTTTTTTAGGAGGGATGAACAAATACATTTTGAACAAAAGTTTACCATGCTTATAATAACTTTAAAATATTCCCAAGATTTCAAAGCATTCGGTTTTGTAATTCCTAATTAAATCGATAAAATAAATTCACGCCTTCATTAATTTTTTTGAGTCACCCTGCATATGCAAATCCAAAAATGGAATGATAAATCACAAGTACAGACTCATCATATTTTGTACATTTTAGATATGATTTATTCGGCAAATTTTCGAGCTGACGTCATCAAGTTTTTGAAGGGGATAAGCAAATATATTTTGACTAAACATTTATTATGCTCTTTATAACCTTAAAACATCTGCAAGATGTCAGAGCATTCCGTTTTGTAGTTCCTGATTAAATCAATAAAATATATTTACGCATTCATTAATTTTTTTGAGTCACTCTGTATATGCAAACCAAAAAATATGAATGGAGTGATAAATGACAAGTACAGACTCATCATATTTTGTACATTTTAGATATGATTTATTCGGCAAACTTTCGAGCTGACGTCATCAAGTTTTTGGAGGGGATAAGCAAATATATTTTGACTAAACATTTATTATGCTCTTTATGACCTTAAAACATCTGCAAGATTTCAGAGCATTCGGTTTTGTAGTTCCTGATTAAATCAATAAAATATATTTACGCATTCATTAATTTTTTTGAGTCACCCTGTATATGCAAATCCAAAAAATATGAATGGAGTGATAGATCACAAGTACAGACTCATCATATATTGTGCATTTTAGATATGATTTATTCCACAAACTTTTGAGCTGACGTCATCAAGTTTTTGGAGGGGATAAGCAAATATTTTTTGACTAAAAATTTATGATGCTCTTTATAGCCTTAAAACATCTGCAACATTTCAAAGCATTCTGGTTAGCAGATTAAAAATAAATTTCAAAATGTTGTTTTATAATTTTGATTTTTTTTCCAAAAATCTGTACGTTTCGGGTGAAAAGTCGATTCAGAGTTGTAAACTACATGTGTAGGACTATGTTATTTTATACAATTGAAAACCCATTTACTATGTACAATTTTGAAGTGACGTCATCGCATTAGTGGTGGGGATGATTAGACAAATTTTGGTTAGCGTTTTACCATCTACATGATATTCTTAATATAAGTACAAAATTTCACAACAATCGGTCGAGTACTTTCGGAGATTATCTGTCTAATAAAAATCCGGGACAACAGACGGACAGACGGACAGACGGACAGACGGACGGACAGACGGACGGACAGACGGACAGACGGACGGACAGACGGACAGACGGACAGACGGACAGACAGACGGAAATGGGAGACCTATTTCTTCGTCTTCTAGGGGTCATGAAAGATCGAGAAAACGTAAAAGTAGAGAGTCGGCCGACGGACTCGATTACAATACTTCCTTTGCTTACGCTCGGGAAGTAAAAATTGTCTAACTTTGAATGAAATCAAATTTAATCACAAATCTCACAAATTTAATAAAACAAAGAAAAAATCTGAAGTAAAGTAACTGGATGCAACAAATTATGGCAGTTAACAAGAGAACAAAATTTTAATGAAAACTCTATGCAGCGGCGCGCACAGCGACCGCAGCACCAGAACGCCTCCGTGTGAATACTTATGACTCCAAAAGTTGAGGGGGCATTCGGGTCGCTATAAGAGTGTGGCGAGCGAATTATATCAATTTCATTCTAGAGCACAGCAAAATTACCCATAGTAGCACGAGCGGAGTTTGGGGCTCCTGGTTGTGGCTGTTCTCCTACCCACGACGGTGATCCTACTCTATCGGCAAGCACATGCCGCCCAGCACCCCTCTATCACGAAGAAACGTGCGTTTCTTGTGCAGATGGCGCAACCGCCAGCTCGACAACGAACCGCACACTCCGCTTTCGCCACGTGTTTCTGTATTATTTATCCCAATTCCATTTAAATGTTCTATTTAGAGCTAAAGTGTTAAAGTTTCAAAAAGAGTTATAAGAAGATTTATATTCGCTATACACTCTCCCGAAATTTTAAACAGCAAATAATTCTCATCTGAGATTAAGATTGGACATCAGACAGTTTATATGACAGAAACATTAATCAACAGAATATATTTACGTGGTGGAAATAACTAGCAAAGGTTTATAAAAACAAAAAAAGATCTGGTGGGAAGTAAAACTTGTGCAGATAAAAAAATCACGTGAGGTTAGGAACTGCAAAGCATGAAAATTTACGTTCAATTTAAATTATATGTACAAAGAAAATTAAGTTGTGATATAGAGAAAAATTGCATGAGGCGAAAAATTGCAAAGCTAACAAAATTACATGAGTTTAATATTGCCACATTTTATCAAGGATTCAGACAAACAATTTACATGATGTTAAATTATGCCACACTTTATCAACGATTCAAACACAGAATTTATATGATGTTAATTATGCCATGACCCAAGTGACTGGTTGCTTAAAAAATTAGCTTTGAGAGTTTATATCGTGGACTGTCCCCAGGTTATCCCAAACAAACACATAATAAATAAACACAAAAATGCGTCTCGGTGATGTAATTTCCTACGTCGCGAGAATTGCATCTCGATGATGTCCAGATGATAACTGCCTAAGGGGAAAAATTTAATCCTCCCGTTTCTCAATCCACGATTTTATGAATTCTAGCGCACTTTCCAAGGTCCTTTTCCCAGAGTGGGACAACGTTATAAAACGTAACACTTAAGTATAAGTATCCAGAAAGGTTTCCCCCTTTTTTTTTAACTACCAAACCAACTAAACTTAATCTAACTACCCTACCGCGTGCTTTCACTCACACCAAACAAACAACAGTGACGCATCTCAACCCTCTAGCAAACAAGTAAACTTCACTACCAATCTTCTCACCAGATACTACCCATGAATTCCCCTAGAAGAGCTACCAATTACCAGAAAAAGAACTAAACTTGCACATGGTTGCCTATGTCTAATTCAAATTACTCAAATGCGATTCCACGCCCTTGTTTTTTTTTCAACGCGAAATTTTAATTCAAATTTGGTCACCACAATTACAAACAACAAAGAACTTAAATCATATCGTGGACCGAATGAATTTCGAATTCGTATAAAATAAAGCACATATGAAATAAATACAACAGCATCTATTAAATATGGTCAAGTCGAGAATAAAATAAATGTTCAAATTCAAGTTGTAAGAAAATATTAAGACTCTCCTATTTTCTGGTCCACGATGTGGTGTGCCGGTTTGAATCAAAATTTCGCACTGAGAATAAAACGACATTGCGGGACAGTATTTGAATCAAAAAAGAATAATAAAACTAATAAGAATGTCAGTAATATTGGTATTCATCCATCTTTTCGACTCTACAGAGAAGTGGACAAACATTTTGAAAAAAGGGCCTTGAAAATTTCCATCAGTTAAATTAATTGACCCTTTTCCTGTAAGATCGTAAAACTTCCATAGTGACTTTCCGTGGGCACGCATCTTCAAAACCACGTATCCGGCACTCCGGCAGCAGAGCAAAGGCCTGTGACAACAAACCGCTTTGACAGAATGCAACCAGCTACACATGCGTAATCTGTCGCTCATTGGTTAATTTTAACTTGGCGCTCCAAAAATCTGACTTCGCCTGCGCGATGTTGTCTCACTCTGTATCATTGGAATTTATATAATGTCTACTCACTTTGCTTACAGGAAAAGGGTCAATATCATCATCATCGACCAGAGATGTAGGTGCATTTTATGTTTGCTCTGTATTATATTAATGTGACTTTTTTATATGCAGATTATTTTCTCACAGCTTGAATTTGAACATTTATTCTCGAATTATTATTTTGATTTCGACTCTATATAATTTGTCTTCGTTATGTTCATTTCATATGTGCTTTGTTTTACGTGTCTGTCTTGTTGAGTCTTAATAAACTTCTTTTCTCCTTCAGTTACACACACATAACACAGGGTTTCATTTTGTTGACAATTACTAACTGTTTAAGGCCAAGTTATGTTTTTTTGTGGCTTTTAAAATTTGTAATTTTGGTGATGTTTGGATTATTACAACGATGACATTAATTTAACAGAAAATAATTTTTAAGTCCTTTCTCTCAAAATGGATCGATGCTTAAGATTAGTTTAATATAAATGTTATGAATGAATTACAGTCGAACTTCTATAATTCGGACCTGCGTTAGTCGAATTTTTCTACAACCCGTACGTGACTGTGTCCCCGTGCACTTCAATTTATTCGTCAGTTTATGGAATGTTATAATTGATATTAAGTTAACAACTCATATAACGAGTCGTTTAGCGACATCTGATTTGCGTAGAGTCGGTCACGTGGTACTTTAATGCCGCATTAAAAATTTAATCGTAATAAAATATTTAATTGTATTTTCGTCAATCGGCTCTTAATTTGATGAAAAAACTTCTAAAAAGACTATACTGCAAAGTTTAATAACCAATTTATTACCGAAAATTAATACCAACAAAATTAAATTGGTATACATTAATTTGTAAGCATCCGTAATAATAAAAACTTTCTAAAGTCGCGATCTTTTCTATAGAACCACTCCCTAGTGTAAATTTTCAAAATTTGTTTGGTGTAAGTGACCTTGACGGGTTTCTGGGGGAAAACATATGTGTCAAAAATTTGACAGGTTAGATGGCCCCATTGTCAATGTAGATATTTTATTTTAATAAATAGATGAACAGAACATACAGTCTGCACGGGATACAGTGCGGCATAGCTGAGGGCAACCGAAACATTCGTGTTGTGCTAGTTTCGACTGCCATGTCAACTACCGCTACCAACCGCGTTCGGCGTAAAGTACTAGATGACAGGGCTACTAACTTGACTTTTTATCGAGTGGTTCCGTAGAAATGACCGCTACTGTAATAAAGTTATTTTTCCTTGATTTTCTTTAACTAGAAGTTTCTTTATCTTGAAAGAATTCTAAGGTCCCTTGCAGATTCGACTTATGAAAGATCGACTGTATTATAAATTTCGTGTGGGAAGTTACGAAATGTAGATAATGTATAATAGGTAACTTGAGTAAAAATATCCAAAACTTTAAATATATCGTTACTACAATAAGTTGAATCTGAATAAGTGACTTGTTTTAAATGAACATTTTCATTATTGTAGTTAAATTGTTTTAGAACAATGAGCTGTAAAAATCTTAATATCAATTGTGAATTTATAAACAATAAAACAAAAATAACATATTTAGAATTCTACCTGAACTGCCTTACAAACCTCCCTAGAACTGCTGGTTATTTTTTCGCGATTCTTCCAAACACACTAAAATAGGAGTGAGTGCTTACGTTACTGGAATAATTTTTTTATTTATCAATTTTTAAATTTTCGAATCAGGACACCACAGTGTCAAGTGAATGTTCAAATCCACATTATTTCGGTCACTTGTGTCATTCTGTTTTAACACTTATTAAATGCAATAGCTAAAGCTTCAAATTTTAACAAATCAAGTGATAAATCTGAATAAATGGATAGGATAATGTAACTAAAAAAAAAGATTAGTGTTAATTGTAGACGCTGCTAAAAAGTTGAAGAACTTCAATTTTTATCTTCGATTAACAAATACCATGTTTAACCTCTTAATACTTAAAAAAGTTTTGTTTTGTGTTGTTCTTTCATATAGATAATACCCATGGTAATAAGTTAAAATGTTTTTTTGAAGTCAAAATGTTGTTTTATTTATCTAATTTCAATGAAATGTTATAGTTATTTGCATACTAGTCGAAGTATTAGACACATGTTAGAGATATGATGGTATTTGCTGGAATAATATACATATAGTAGTCTTGCCGGCTGCCGAGTTGATTTATTACCGTTTGTGATATCAGAAACACTTCAACGGTTGAAAAGAAGAGTAGGCAACCAGCAATTCACCTATCAATATAAAATCGTGGTAGAATTCTGTGTAAATAAAACATATGCATTTAAAGGACGATATTACAATGTTAATTTTTTATTGTCACCTAGAAATGAAAAAATGTTGCATAAAAAAAATGAAAAATAATACTCCATGAAAAATGTGAAAATTTCTGAACCTCTACAAAGTTGTGATCTTTCTTTTACGTATTATCTGTTACGTATTGCATGTTATAATCCTAACAATATAGTGTTGCATGTATAATTTAAAAATTTATTTCAATTGTTGTGAGTTACACATAATGGTAACATTTCGGTCATGTTTAAAAATACCTTCATTCATTAGATAACAACCGACAATTTATGATTCAATCAACTTGTAGGTGTATGAATTTGTATTTACTTTATCTATGGAGTTTAATTTCGCTATGTACTATTAGTCACTACCGCTCGATTTAAATGTTAAAATTAATAATAATCTGTTTTTATAATTATAAATTGTGACCAAACTTTTGCGTGGTATGAGTTATGTGTGAGTCACTAAGTGATGAATCCATCACACCCACTTCACAGTTTTGTTACTGGATGATCGTTTTTTGCTAATTTGCATTCACCACGGTGCAATGGCTCTAGAAGTAATTACCGTTTTAATAATACTACCGGCAAGAAGAACAATTAATGTTAACATTAGCATGTTCAACTAAAATTAGCGCGCGGTGATTTAATTGGTTCGTTGCTGTGCTGAGCAACAATCGACAATCAACCTGCTGTACCAAAATAGGTGTGGCGCCACACTGCCAAAGAAGCTGTCAAATAGTTTTATAGAGAATTTACACTTTTACAATTATAAACCGAGGAATAATGGTAGTCAAAGTATACATAAGTGGCATTTCCGGCAATAAAGAGGTGAGAATACTTTCTGTGACTTTTATTTTAAACCATTGTTCTTAAATCGTTGCTGATAATTTATAAAAATACACCTGTTCTTTGACAGGTGAAGAAACGACAGCAAAGGGTCCTTCTGATTTTAGATTCAAAAAATGTTCAGTACGAAGTAATTGATATAGCGGAGCCGGAAAATGAAGACAAAAAGGACTTTATGCAAAACTTTTCCACTTCTTCGGGCGGGACAATTAGTGATCCCAACCCCAGACATCCTTTGCCTCCACAATTATTCAATGATGATGATTATTGTGGGGTAAGTTTACACAACAAAGTTCATTTCATGGTTATTATGTTGAAGGAGTTACAAAATCGATTTCATACAGTATCAACTTTATCTGTGTGTTATATTTATCTACATTTACAGTATAAACAGCAACTCAAAATAGATTGGAAGAAGTCCACTTTTTTACACATTACATTTGTTTCATTCGTAAAGCTTCCTATGCTTAATTTAATTCAAAGCATTCAAATAAGAGATTATTTACTGTCTCATTTTTTTCGTAGTATATTTAGAAAATTGTATACAATTTTTAATGATTTGCTAATGTGTTTTTGCTTGCCAAAAAAAGGAACATAGCTTTTATAAACTTTAAAATTTCTTACAGGACTATGACCAATTTGATATGGCAAACGAAATTGATGAAATGGAAAAATTCCTGAAATTAGAATCCAGCGATTCTGCGCCAACTGTAACCTCAAATGCTGAAATTAAATTGGGAAATGGAGAGATCCAGTCTGAAGAAACACCACAAAACTTTAACGAAACCAAAGATGACAAAGAAGAAGAATCAAAAGACGACAATGTGCCTGACAATAACGAAAATACGAACGAAACTGTAGAATCCAAAGTCGAAAATGGGGATGAAGGGGAAGCTAAAAATGAGGAAGAAGATGAAGAAGAAGAGGATGAAGACGAATAATTTTTTTAATGTCAAAACGTATTTATTGTTTCGCGACATGTTAATTGGTCTGAAATGACATTTTAAGTATTATATTTACGCTATTATTCATGAGGTTAAGGTCTTACTTTAGCTCACGGCGAACAAAGTATCAATTGTTACACTTTTACATTTTAATGTTAAACCGATCTGAATTTTGTAAATATATTACTTCATTACGCTATTTAAAGTATTTCCCAATATATATCATCTTTTAAATACGTTGTATTTTTATTTAAACGCTGTTTTTAATTAAAATTTTATGTAATTCGATTCGTTGCCCCGATTGGTTGCTCTTTGTAGACGTGTATTATTTACTAGTTAGTGGAATTGACAGCCTTACATTGGCACAACTGATTTTTGACAGTTGTCAAAATGTCCGCCGTTTTAAATGTTTTTAAAGTTAATATTAAGTTAACAAACCTATATGTAGTGCAATATTATGGTCTTAAAAATTTTAGTTACGTACATTCCAAACGAAAATCGAAGTTTTTTCCAGTATTATACCAGTCACAAAGAGTGAGTATGACATTTATAGGTTATCCTTATCATGTTCTTAAATTATGCAATTACATGTTATAAATAACTTTTAGGTCTATGCTAGTAAAGATACTGAACCAAAACCAACAAAAGTAAGCGGGGGAATATTATCTAAAACTCTATCTCGTATTAATATCATACCCAAAGATCAAACAGTTCGAGAATGTTTTCACCCTGGAGCAACTGCAATTTCCAGGGATTCTCTCCCTCTAACTGGAAAGAATGTTGTTACCGGCCCCCAAATGGTTGGAGCAATGCTACAATATATTTGGCCAAAAGATAACAAAGCTATAAGAGATAGGGTAACTTTAGCTGTGGGATTGTTAATAAGCGCTAAAGTGTTAAATGTATCAGTTCCATTTATTTTTAAATATTCTATAGATTATTTGAATTCTGCAGGGACCTTAAATTTGGACTCTGCTCCTGCCGCCATCACTGCTGTAGCGACAAGTTTACTAATAGGCTGTATGTCCTTCCAGTATTAAAAATCAAATTTACAACATTGTGAATTTTAGATGGTATTGCGAGAGCTGGTGCCGCTGGTTTTAACGAATTACGAAACGCCGTTTTTGCTAAAGTGGCTCAACATTCAATAAGAAAAATAGCAAAAAATGTTTTCTTACATTTGCATAATCTAGATTTGGCTTTTCATTTATCCAGGCAAACTGGTAGTAGTTTAGCTAAATTCTTTATATAATGTACTAATATAAGTCTGTGAATTTAAAATTTAGGTGCCCTCTCTAAAACAATTGATAGAGGATCTCGAGGGATCAATTTTGTTTTGTCTGCTATGGTTTTCAATGTTGTGCCAACTATATTTGAGTTGGCACTGGTGTCAACTATATTAGGTTTAAAATGTGGGGCTGCATTTGCTGGTAATTTTAATAATGTTGTTTGTTATTTGCATTAAGATTTTGTATTCACAGGAATCTCATTGGGTTGTGTTGGTATTTATGCCGCTTTCACTTTGGCCATTACACAGTGGAGAACAAAGTTTCGAGTGTATATGAATCAGGCGGAAAATGAAGCTGGAAATAAAGCTATTGATTCGCTGATCAATTATGAGACTGTTAAGGTAATAGTGACTCAGCAGGTGTGACGTACCACTCGGCAAATATTAATTACCAGGCACTTGTCAACTCGTGTTATGGTTATGAGCTTATGACAAGTACATATAAAGAATGCATTATAGAAGAATTGTTCTATGAAGGGTATTTTTCAATTTTATATCTGAAAACTTTAATCTTTTTATTACTTCCTGAGCATAAGCTAAGAAAATATTGTAATTGAGTCGTTTTTTCTCGGCGTTTCATCACCTTTAGAGTACGAAAAAATAGGTTTCCGTCTGTCTGTCCGCCGTTTGTCTCGATTTTTATTAAACAGATAATATTCGAAATTATTGGACTGATTGTTGTCAAATTTTGTATGTATGTTAGGAATATCATGTAGATTGTAGAATAAAACGGTAAGCAAAATTATCATTTATAAAATAACGTACTCATCCATTGTGGTTTATAAATCCGTGTCGAGTTTTTAAACGTTTTAATATTATCGGAAGTATGGTAAATCGCTAATCAAAATTTATTCCTTCATGCCCCCGCCCTTTATAAATCGATGATATTATTTTACAACTTTGTCTATTAAATGTTATTTAAATGCTAAAAAGTAATATACTCCTGAACTTGTGGTTTATGAATCCGTGTTGAATTGAATTTTTCAATTTTTTCGATTTTTCGATTTCTCTGTTTTCAGTTCTTCGATTTCTCGATTTTCAATTTTTCGATAATTCAGTCTGGAGATTTTTCAATTTTTAATTCTTCAATTACTCAATTTTTCGATTTCTCGATTTTTTTTTATTTTTCGATTTCCCAATTTTACGATTTTTGTCTTTTTTTTGGGATTTCTAAATTTTCGATTTTTTAATTTTTTGATTTCTCAACTTCTCGATTAATCGGTTTTTCGAGTTCGATTTCTCAGTTTCATTTTTGAGATTTTCACTATTTCGATTTTTCGACTTCATGGTTTTTTATTTTTTCAATTTTTCAATTATTTAAATTTTAGATTTTTAATTTTTTTTAAATTTCAGGTTTTTCACTTTTTAGATTTTTCAACAATTTGATCTTTCGTTTTCTCGATTCTACAATTTTTCGAGATTTCAGTTTTGGTATTTTTCAATTTCTCAGTTTTTCTATCTTCTAAATATTTGTTTTTTTGATTTCACAATTTCTCTATTAATCGATTCTTCTTCGAGTTCGATTTCTGAATTTTTCGACTTTTCGACTTCTCGATTTTTCAATTTTTCCATGTTTCACTTTTGGGATTTTCACTATTTCGATTTTACGGCTTTTCAACTTCTCGATTTTTAAAATTTTGTATTTTTCGATTTTTCAATTCTTCTGTTAACTTTTCAATTTTTCGATTTATCCAAATTTTCGTTTTTTTTTTCAATCTTGAATTTTTTGATTTTATGCTATTTCCATTTTATAATTTTTCGATTTTTGACTTCTCGATTTCTCAATACATATTTTGATCTTTCAATTTCTCGATGCTTCAATTTTTCATTTTTTGGTATTTTTCAGTTTTTCTATTTTCTAAATATTCGATTTTTTGATTTCTTAATCTCTCTATCAATTGGTTTTTCGAGTTCGATTTCTCAATTGTTTGACTTTTCGACTTCTCGATTTTTCAATTTTTCTATCTTTCAGTTTTGGGATTTTCAATATTTAGATGTTTCCACTTTTTGAATTTTTAGTTTCTCAAATTTTCAAAATTTTTCGGTTTTTTAAAATTTTAGATTTTTCAATTATTTAAATTTTAGATTTTTCAATTTTTTAAATTTTAGATATTTCGATTTCCCGATTTTTTAGTTATTCGATTTTCTTTTATTCAATTTTTCGAATTTTTTAATTCTAGGTTTTTCACTTTTTTCGATTTCTCGATCTTTCGATTTTTCTTTTTCTTAATTTGTCTAATTTTTAAATTTTAGGTTTTTCACCTTTTTGATGTTTCGGTTTTTCGATTTTTTGATTTTTCGACTTCTCACTTTTAGATTTTTCAGTTTTTCAATTTTTTTGATTTTTCGATTTTATTGAGATTTCACGGTTTCGATTTTTTAATTTTCCCATTTTTCGGTTGTTTTTTTGGTTTAAATTCCGATTACTTTTTCGAGTTTTCCATTTTTTAAATTTCGATTTTTTGATGTTTTGATTTCTCGGTTTTCAATCATTCGATTTTTTCATTTTTCGATGTTTTAATTTTTAAATTGTTTCATTTTTAGATTTTGTAGTTCTTCGATTTTTCGTTATTTTTTAATTTTATATTTTAACTTTTAGATTTTTCACTTTTTTGATGTTTCGATTTCTCGACCTTTTGATTTTTTGATTTCTCGCTTTTAGAGTTTACGTTTTCCAATTTTTTTCTGGATTCTTCAATTTTTCTATTTTTTAAATTTTAGATTTTTCAATTTCTTGTTTCTAGTTTTTCGATTTTGTAAATTTTACATTTTCGATTTTTGTATATTTCAATTTTACCAATTTTTTATCAGTTTTTCTGTTTTTCGAATTCTCAATTTCCCAACATCTCGGATTTCGATTTTTTAATTTTTGAACATTTTAATTTTGGGAATTTTTCATTTCTGTTTTTTCAGTTTTTTGTTAGATACTTTCATTTTTCGATTTTTTAAATTTTAGATTTTTTGATGTTTGGATTGCTCGATCTTCCGATTTTCCGACTTTTCGGATTTTATTTTTCAGTTTTTCAATTTTTAAAATTTTTTATTTTTCAACTTTTCGTTTTCCCGATTTTTCAATTTTTCTGTTAACTCTTCAAATTTTTAAATTCTCGATTTTTGGTTTTTTTAGTATATTTTTCAATTTTGAATTTTTTGATTTTGGATTATTTCGATTTTTCAGTTTTTTGATTTTCGATTTCGCAATAATTTGATCCTTCGATTTCTCACTGCTTCAATTTTTCAATTTCGATTTCTCAATTCGTCAATTTTTCGACATTTCAGTTTTGGGATTTTTCAAGTTCTCAATTTTTCGATTCTTCAATTTTTCTGTTTTTTAAATTTTAGATTTTTCGATTTCTTGTTTCTAATTTTTCGATTTTTTAGTTTTTAGATTTTGTAAATTTTACATTTTCGATTTTTCCATATTTCAATTGGCCAATTTTTGATGTTTCGATTTCCAGGTTTTAAGTTTTTTAATATCTCAATTTGTCTGTTTTTCGAATTGTTTTTTTTTTATTTTTGGACTGTTCAATTTTTCGAGTTCTCCATTTTCCAAGTTTTCGATTTCTTAATTTTTCAACATTTCAATTTTGGGAATTTTTCATTTCTATATTTTTTCAGATTTTCAACACATAGATACTTTCATTTTTCGATTTTTTAAATTTTAGATTTTTTGATGTTTGGATTCTTCGATCTTCCGATTTTTCGACTTTTCGAATTTCGTTTTTTCAGTTTTTCAATTTTAAAAATTTTTGATTTTGCAATTTTTCATTTTGTCGATTTTAATAATTTTTTGATTTTTCGATTTATCGATGTTTTAGTTTTATTTATGCTACTCGTTTTTATTTTATAGAGGTTAACAAAATTTTTTTAATAATTTTTCAAAGAGGTGGGATTTGTTGGGCTGCAGTTCAGGAGTTAGGGAAGTTCTGCCGAAATACCCTTCGACCGATTTTTTACTTTTAAACCTGACTGGTATATATCCAAATGAGATATTTTTGAAGTTTCAGAGAAGATCATAGAAAAAATAGGAAAAATTAATTATTGGAAAATCATCCCATGTTATATAGATCACTAGTATGACATTTTTCATGAAAATAGATATTCTATATTATTCAATCCTCAAAAGTTAAGGTCTATAGTGTTGCTGGTATCAAATGGATTGAAGTAATTTTTAAATATTTTCGAAAAAGGCCTGATTTTGAATTAATATCAAAGTTTCTACTAAAATAAAATTAATCGATTTAAATGTGTACTGGTTGCTTGAGTTCTAACAGACATATTTCCAGTATTTCAATAACGAAAAATTTGAAGCCAATCGCTACGATAACGTTTTAAAAAAATACGAAGGTGCTAGCTTAAAAACTAGCTCAAGTTTGGCTCTGTTAAATTTCGGACAGAACGCCATTTTTAGTGCTGCCTTGAGTGGTATAATGGTTTTAGCAGCACACGAAATCATTAAAGGTAACCCTTGACGTATTAAAATTTCTAATCAAGTAATTTATATTCATGTAGGTAATATGACCGTTGGTGACTTAGTAATGGTCAACGGACTATTGTTTCAACTTTCTGTACCATTGGGATTTTTGGGTAGTGTGTACAGGGAAGTTAGACAAGCGTTAATTGACATGCAGACAATGTTCACTCTCATGACAATGGACACTGCTATTAAGGTAATCATTAAGGTCAACACAAATTTATCAACCTTGAATACACTTTCTTGTTTAGAGCAAACCACATGCTCCATATTTACACGTCGACTCTAAAACATCCGACATCAAATTCGAAAACGTCTTCTTCGACTATGGACCAGGAAAAGAAATTTTGAAAGATCTGAATTTCACGATAACACCAGGCAAAAAAATCGCCATCGTGGGTGGATCAGGATCTGGGTAATTATGATTGATTTACACAAAACGTGTAATTTATGAGTGTGTGAACAGAAAATCAACAATTGTGCGCCTTTTGTATCGTTTTTACGAACCAACATCTGGCCGTATTTTAATTGGGAATCAAGACATTCGTGATGTTGAGCTTGATAGCTTAAGACAAGCTATTTCAATTGTCCCTCAAGACTCTGTTCTCTTCCACGACACCATAAGACATAACTTACACTATGGTGACCTGTCCGCGACCCAGGAGGAAGTAATTAGGGCCGCTAAAATGGCCGAAATTCACGAATCTGTAGTAAAATGGCCCAAAGGTTACGAGACTCAAGTTGGCGAAAGAGGGTTGAAATTGTCGGGGGGTGAAAAGCAGAGAGTTGCTATAGCGAGGGCGATCCTCAAGAATTCACCGATTTTGGTGTTTGATGAAGCCACGAGTTCTTTAGATTCGCTTACGGAACATGTAAGTAAAAGATGGGTTTGAATTAATGTAGGAATATAGAAAATTGATTTAAAGATGTGTATCTTTGGTGGTAGTATATTGAATGACTGTGAGACATAATTCTGTTTTACTTGAAACGAGTCGACAATAATTGTGTTAATTTTTACTTCGCGACCGTAAGCGAGTCAATCGGCCAACTCTCTACTTTTATGTTTTCTCAACCTTTCGTGACCCCTAGAGTACAAAGAAATAGGTCTCCCGTTTCCGTCTCTGGCTGTCTGCCGTCTACCGAGTGTTTTCAAATTTTGTATGTATATTAGTACTATCAAGTAAATGGTAAAACGCCAAACAAAAATTGGGTAATTATACCCACTAACATTTGATGGCGTCATCTCCAAAATTAACAATAACAAATTTGTTTTAATTTTTATAATATAAAGTACTGCTTCACTTGGGGTGTGAGTTTTCATCCTTTTGGAAGAAAAAAATCAAAATTCTATGACAACATTTTGCAATTTAAGTTTGAAACTGCAAAACCGAATGCTCGGAAATCTTGTAAACGTTTTAAGATTGTCGTAATCATGGTAAATTTTAATCAAAATTGATTTGTTTATCCCCTTCCAAAAATCTGATGACGTCATCTTAAAATCTTGCCTAATAAATCTTATTTAAAATATCTAAAATATTACGACTTTACACTTGTGGTTTATGAATAGACTCATAGTTTTTAGAATTACTTATACAGGTGACTCAAAAAAAATGAATTAATTAAATCAAGAACAACTCACTTCATTTTCCCGAAAATTTGGGAATACAGAACTGTTATTATTAGTATTACCCAAATTGATATGCGTGTCCTCGTAAAAATGTTGATGCGTCATCATAAATTTTGTAATGGAAAAATGCGTAGAAATTTTAAAATTTTTCGAAAAAGTGAATGTAAAGAGGCATCTTTACTTTTTCGAAAAATTTGGATTAATTTACCTTCAACCAATTTTTTGAATAACATTTTTCGTTTTTCTTCGATTTTACAATGTTTTGATGTCACAATTTTTCGTTTTTTCATTTTCTTCCATTTTAAAATTTTTTCCATTTTTCAATGTTTCGGTTCCATAATTTTTATTTTTTTCCACTTTAATTTTTCAATTTGCGATTTGTCAATTTTGCAATTTTTCGATTTTTTGATGTTTTGATTTCTCGAATTTATAATTTTTCAATTTTTTGATTTCTAAATTTTTCACTTTTTCAATGCTTTGATTTCGTGATTTTTCGACTTCTCGCGTTTGGTGTTTTCCGGTTTTTCAATTTCTCGATTTTTAAAATTTTTGATTTCTCGATTTATCGAGATTTCGATGTTTAGGTTTTCTTTTAAGTTTAGATTTTTTAATTTTGAATATTTTAATTTTGGGCTATTTTGATTTCCCAATACATATTTTGATATGTTTCGATTTTTCAAAATTTCAGTTTTTGGATTTTTCAATATTTCGGTTTTTCAATTTTTTGATTTTTTACTTTCCAATTTTTCGATCTTTAGTTTTTACAAAATCTTATTTTTCCAATTTCATAAGTTTTCTCTTTCTTTTAGATTTTTCTATTTTTCAATTCTTCAGTTTTTAAAATTTTTGATATCTTAATTTTTTGGTTAACTTGTTCGATTTTTCAATTTTTGGATTTCTCGATTTTGGGCTATTTTGATTTCTCAAATTTTGAATTTTCAACTTCTTGATTTCTCAATATTTTGATGTTTTGTGATGTTTTCTGGATGCTTCAATTTTTCAATTTCGATTTCTCGTTTTTTCGAAATTTAGACTTTCCGATTTTCCAATTTTTGGATTCTTCAGTTTTTCGACATGTCAGTTTTGGGTTTTTTCAATTTTCAGTGTTTCAGTTGTTCGATTTTTTAAATTTGAGATTTTCCATTTTTCCTTGTTTCAATTTTGCGATTTTTTGATGTTTCCACTTCCCCATTTTAATTTTTTAATATGTATTTCAATTTTTCTATTTTTCGAGTTTTACATTTCTCGACCTCTCGGTTTTTGGATTTTTAAAATTTTTCGACTTTTCAATTTTTCGATTCTTCGGTTTTTCGATATTTTAATTTTTCAGTGTTTTATTTCAATTTTTTTTTTTGGTTTTTCTAATTTTAAATTGTTCATTTCTTTGATGTTTCGATTTCTGGATCTTTTGATTTTTCGACTTCTTGTATTTAGATTTTCCGGTTTTCCAATTTTTCCATTTCTCGATTTATGAAGATTTCGATGTTTCAGTTTTTCGGTTTTTTTAAGTGTACATTTTTCAATTCTTAATTTTTCGGTTTTGGGCTATTTCGATTTTTCAAATTTTCGACTTCTTGATTTCTCAATCCTTTGATGTTTCTATTTCTAGTTGCTTCAATTTTTCAATTTCGATTTTCCATTTTTTTGATTCTTCAACTTTTCGACATTTCAGTTTTGGGATTTTTCAATTTCTCAATTCTTCAGTTTTTCTAGTTTTTAAATTTTCGATTTTTTCCATGAATTTTGTTAATATGTATCTCAATTTTTCGAATTTTGGACTTTTCGATATCTGGGTTTTTCGATTTTTAAAATTTTTCGAACGTTCGATTTCTTAATTTTTCAGCATTTCAATTTTGGGTGTTTTTCATATCTGAATTTTTCAATTTTTCGATTGTTAAATTGCAGGTTTTTTTATTTTTTGATTCAATTGGTCGATCGTTCGATTTTTCGACTTTTCGGATTCGATTTTTGAAATTTTCGATTTTCTTTGTAATTCTTTAAATTATACATTTTCAATTTTTTGATGTTTCGATTTCCCGATTTTAAGGTTTTTGATCTCAATTTTTCTATTTTTCGACTTTTAAAGTTTTCAAGTTCTCCGTTTTTCATGTTTTCCATTTGTTAATTTTTCAACTTTAATTTTTTTTATTTTCATGTTTTTTGACTTTCAAATTTTTCAATTTTTCGTTTGTCCAGTTTTTGAGTTTGCGATTTTTCAGCTTTGCAATTTTTTGAAATTACAGTGTTCCATTTTTCCGTGTCCCCAATTTTTTCAAATTCTTGATTTTTATTTTTTATTTTCCCGATTTTTTAATTTTTATTTTCTCGATTTTATATCACAATTTTTTGTTTTTTCGTTTCTTTTATCTTTTCAATGTTTCTTTAAATTTTTCAAATTTTCAATTTTTGATTTTTGCAATTTTTGAATTTCCAATTATCTGATTTTCCGATTTCTTTAATTTTCAGTATTTCGTTTTTACAATACATATTTAGTTTTTTCGATTTTGCACTTTTTGGTTTTTAAGATTCTGAATTTTTAATCTTTCGAATTTTCAATTTTTGGTTTCCTCAATTACTCCAGTTGCTGATTTCCAATTTGTAGATTTTTCAAAGTTTTTATTTTATCCTTTTTCGTTTTTTCATTTCTAATTTTTCAGTTTTATAATTTTGCAATTTTTTCGTTTATTTTGTTTATTCGAAAAGTTGCAAAATCGAAAAACTGAAAAAACGAAAAATAGCAAAATCGAAAAAGTGGGAAATTAAAAATCGAAAAAATTAATGAATCGTCAAAATTATAAAGTCGAAAAACTGTAACATTGAAAGAATGAAAAATTCAAAAATTTAGTATCGAGGACCTGAAAAATTAAGAATCGAAAAATTGAAAAATCGAATAACTGAAAAAGTTTTAAAATACAATAATTGAAAAATGGAAAAATTCTAAAATCGTAAAATTAAAAAAGTGAAAAATAAAAAAAAAATTATTGTTACATATCTACATGTAAAAACTAGAAAAGTTGCAAATCAAAAATTGAAGAAACGAAAAATTGAAAAATCTAAAGATCGAAAATTTTCACATTGAGAAGAAAAAAATTATAAAATTTGAACACTGAAAAACCGAAGAAAGAATTTGAAAAATTGAAAAACCAAAAATCGAAAAATTGAAAAGTCTAATAATTGAAACAGTTTTAAAATCCAATAATTAAAAAATGGAAAAATTCTAAAATCGTAAAATTGAAAAAGCAAAAAAAAAAATTATTATTTAACATGTATTTAAAATGAAATCCAGAAAAATTGCAAATAAAAAATTGAAGAAACGAAAAGAAAATAACAAACCGAAACGAAAAATCACAAATCGAAAAATTGAAAAATTAAAAACTGAAAACTTGTCAAACTGGAAATCGAAGAAATGCAATATCTAGAAAGTGAAATATCCAAAAGCTGGAAAATTGAAAAACTGAAAAATTTAACTTAAAAATTCGAAACATTGAAAAAGCAAAAGTTGAAAACTCGTCAAACTGTAAATTGATGAAATGCAAAATCTAAAAAGTGAAATATTCAAAAGTTGGAAAATCGAAAACCTGAAAAATTTAAAAATGAAAGCTCGAAGAGTTGAATGTCGTAGTAACAAAGAAACAAAAAAATGAAAAATGAAAAATTATGAAATTGAAACATTGGAAAATCGAATAATCGAAAAAAATAAAGAAAATAAAAAACCGAAACGAAAAATTGCAAATCAAAAAATTAAAATATTCAAAAAATTGCAAATCGAAAAACTGAAGAAACAAAAAAAATTAAAAATGGAACAATAATTGACAAATTCAAGTTAAAAATCTTTGGGAGTGCCACTGGTTTTTAGTTTATACAGGTTATCAGAAACAAAAATTCCAAATAATTTTTATATTTTTCAAAGAAGAAGGATTTGTTGGGTTTCACTTCAGAGGCGAGAGAAGTTCTATTGAAATAACCTTCGACCAATTTTTTGTGTTGTGAGTATGCGTAATGTGTTGCATTGTATATTAAAAAAAAATGAAGTAACTTATTTTTCGATGCAACTAACTCTTGCGAACTCTAAATTTATGTATTAGCCAAATAAGTAAGCTTAGTTATTGTTTCTTCTTTTGATAATACTCATTTGTTATTGCTTATTCTGAGATTAGAGAAAACGTGATATGAATTATTCACTTCACTCACGGTCATTCATTATATTATGTAAAGATGAATTTACGTATTAACTCCTTTTTTTTTTCAACTATCCACTTGTAAATAACAATTTTAGCACATTCTGGAAGCCCTAAAAAGGGCCACCGAAGGTCGTACAAGTATTTGCATAGCTCATAGATTAAGTACTGTGATGGATGCAGACGAGATTTTAGTCCTCGAAAATGGAAAAGTATCCGAAAAGGGCACCCATGCGACATTAATTCAAAATCCAGATAGTTTATATTTCAAACTGTGGAAAGCACAGAACCATGAAAATTTTGGACTGGCGAAGAGAAAATCAACCACAGGTTAAACAATTTAGTCAATTAATAATCCATTTAAAACAGAGAAATTTATAGGAATACAAACAAGTCTTGTACGTGTTATAGATTAATTTTTTGTAACTAAAAATTTTTATTCACCGCTCTGTAAATATGTACATATCTATACAGTATATTTAATAAATGTTGTAAAATGGGGGCAGCAGTTTTAATAGACTAATGATTATTTCCGATAGATTTCTAATTCTACCCGTATCGTGCTTTTTGTGTGCTTTGAAAGCTCTTGATTTATGCCATTGTTATAGGGCGTTCCCATAGCAACCGCATTTATACACATACAAACATATGGTCCTGCAATGCAGTTTTAATTATTATCAGTAAAAGGTTCTCCATGTTTTTACACTGTTTTTAATTAAGTATTTCGCCTACGATTAAAATAAAATGGCAAGCAGTAGTTCCACACCACAAAAACCGCCCGAACAGAGGTATGCCATATTTGTTATTCTGGGAATGTTTGACAACAGGTTTGACATTCTAGAAGCAAAAGTTGCGAAACGGCGTGTTCATCGAATTCTAGCTGTTTTTTCCAAAAAAGAAAGCCGATTAATCCCTTGGCGAATTCAGTACGGACTAGTCTTTCACGAAGTACGGTTAATTCGGTCAGACAGCGTGTCTTGTCAGCAAAATTATTGAAATTAAAAAGCGTCCAAAACCAATTAAATGACGCCAATTATCACCTAGCGGTAAGTTATCGATTGTTCAGAAGACAATAGTCTTTTGTATTTATTATAGGAAGTTATAAGAGAAAATCAGGCTTTGAAAACGTTACAAAAACGTCAGGATAGAGCACTATCAAAGTAAGGTAGACGTATTCCATGGGATAGTGTACAATGAAATGTCTAGATTTAGAATGATTGCGTTACTTTTTTTTAAGATATGAAGGTGCAAATGCAGAATTGCCACGTCTTATCAAATCGCATGAAGAAGAAATACGATTTTTGACTGAGAAAAACAAACAGTTGCGCAAAAGTGTTAAAGAACTAAATGAGCAATTGAAACATAAAAGTGATGAACTGCTGAGTGTCCAAGAACAATTAAAACACTATGAAAAACTTGATAGAGATAAGCACTTGTTGGAAAGGGAAAAATTGGTAGAGGAATTAGAGGATGTGAAGGCAAAACTTAAAAAAGCGGACAGTGAAATAGTTATTTTGAATAGGAAACTTACTCTAGAAAATAAAACATCGAAGCAGAGACTGAATGTTGAAATGGTAAAACATAAACAGTGTCAAAGGGAACTCGCACAAGCGTTAACTGAAATTAGTAAACTGACCAAATTCGCGGAGGTAATTAAATCTAATCTTCATGAGCTTTTTTTCATCACCTGTATTCCTTTTAGACCAAAGACAAGCCATCAAACGGGAGAAAGCGATTTTCCACTTTACCTCAAAGACAATCGACTTCCTTAGTTTCTTTAAATGGCACCAAACATTCCAATTTACCAGAAAATCCACCTTTCGCTGATAAAACTCCAGTTACTGAGGTAAAATTAGAACCTCTAACACAGACCAAAGAAGAGGAAATTAGTACCATAAAAGCATACAAAGGAATTTTAAAGTGTCCATCAGAAAATATCAAAGCTAGATTATCAGCAGATTCCAGAAAAGACATAGATGAAGAGATTTTATCAGTGGATAAGTTAAGCATAAGTGGAAGCGATTCCTCAAATGAGAAAGAAAGCCACCTAAGTCGTCCAAACTCGAATCCAAAACTGGAAAAAATTGAACTAAACATACAAAAAGCTATGCGAAAAAGCGAAGAGAATAAATCTGGTGATGAACTTAGTAAGCGACTGGGAGATTTTTGTTTACAGGCAGTGGATTCTATTAAAAATTGTTCCAATCTGATTGAAAATCATAAAGAAAATTTAGCGTTTGCAAAAGAAGATACTGAGCATATAGCGGAAACTGTGAAAGGAGTTGCAAATATTGAAAAACGGATGAAACGTTCAGCGAATTTACATTCTCCTGAAAATGATTTACCTGAAGATAATTTTGATTTTGTTAATAAAATTTTAAAAGAAGAGGCAGAGTTTCAGGCAAAGTATAACAAGAATGGAAAGAAAAAGGAACCTGCGGTCGCAAGTAATGATAAACAGAAACTGCTGGCTACTTTAAGGGCAATTGATAATGGGGATAGCTTCGATTCTTTTGAAAGCGAATCCAAACAGGATAAGCAATTAATGAAAGAACTTTTTGGGGACTTGTCGAACTGATGGGTCGTCACTGACAGGGAATTTATTGTATACTGTTATTTTATCCTTATTGTTATTTAGTGTTTAGTTAGTCTAAATTTAGGGAATTTGTACTTACCTGAACGAAATTATATTGTGATATGCAGCAAAACGTGTATGAATTTCGTATGTACACTTATATTTGAGACTGAAACTGCAAAATATGCTGTAACAACATCTATTTTATTGAATAATATTGACTACAGAACGATTGCCACCAATCGAATTTTATGTCTAACCTAACAAAAATATTTGTTTAGCAAAAATACAGTCTTAAAACAGACATAAAAAAAATCGCAAAATTCATACAAATAACCGTTCAAAAGGTTGATATCTATAAAAATAAACAGACCCCCGCACAAATTATTTTTGACGGGGACTCAACAGAAACTTTCTTCAAAAGTTACTTACGTGTACATTTTTAACACAGGAAACAAATTTTTACAAACGATCTTATAATGAAACTCAAAGCTAACAGCTACACCATCATAAACAATCTAACACATTGATGTTAAAAATTTGGCAAAAATTTCCCAAACTAGAACTCCAGCTACTTTATACTTTCACATTATTCGCTGCATTTCAAATTCTAAAAGCTATCTCATCACATTAAGGTTATTGTCTTTTAAACTAAGGCTTGTAAAAAGTGCTAAATTTGAATTTTTTTTCGTTTTTTTATGAATTGTTACAAAGAATTGACTCTGAAACTCTAACATTTAAAATAAAACCACAGTATCTCCAGATATGTTTAGGATCGTAGAATAAATTGTGTTCTGCTTGAAAACGAAAGTGGACGATATGTTACTCACTGTACATTAAACTTTGCCACAAGTATAACATTAATACATCTAGTTGTAATTTAGTAACAATTGCAATAATAATTTCATTTGGCAACCTAAAACGTAAAAGCAAGTGTCCACGGTGAACTACCCGATGATCGTTCTCTTAGACTGGACAGGCTACAGGATTTGTGCTAGGTTGAATAATGCCACCAGGACCAGGCAAAACTGTTTGTCCTTGATTAAGAAATTCATCCACTCTTCGTGCGGCTTGTCGTCCTTCAGAAATAGCCCAAACAACCAAGGACTGACCACGTCGACAATCTACAAACACAATATTAACTTTTCTGGGATACAAAATTGCTTGTCTTTTACCTCCAGCAGCGAAAACGTTCGGCAAATTGGTCTTGTATTCTTTAGTGTTGAAGTTAGAACGAGCATCCAATGTCAGTTCGAGTTGGTCAGCAATGGCGCGCTCTGGACCCAAGAAGCCCATGGCTAGAAGTACCAAATCGGCTGGGAAGACTCTCTCGGTTCCTGGAACTTGGTTCATTTGCCACCGACCGCTTTCATCTTTGGTCCATTCGACATTAACGGTTTTAACACCGCTGACGTGTCCTTGCCCATTATCGAGAAATTCTTGGGTTAGAATGCTGAAGACTCTTGGGTCGCCACCGAATCGTACTTTCACCTGATCAAAAGAAAAATTAGTACTAAAAAAAGCACAAGTTTGCTTTAGGTACCTCGTCATGACCGTAATCAACTCTAAATATTCTGGGCCACTGTGGCCAGGGATTATCAGCTGTTCTCTTTGGACTTGGTTCCGGAAGAATCTCAAACGTGGTGATCGAAGCGGCTCCATGTCTCAACGAAGTAGCTATGCAGTCACAACCGGTGTCACCACCGCCGATGATTATCACATTTTTGTCCTTGGCGTGAGGACCGCTATGGTTAGCTCCTAGTTGCTTCTTCTGCCAGCTTTCCAAAAACTCCATAGCGAAGTGAATTCCACCTAGCTGACGTCCTGGTAGAGGTAGATCTCGTGGCCACGTGGCTCCTGTACAAAGAACTACAGCGTCGTATTCCTCGCTCAGTTCTTTGGCAGAAATATCCTTCCCCACGTTGACATTGGTCTTGAACGTTATTCCTTCAGCTGCTAGAAGATCCACCCTTCTTTGAACAACGTTCTTGCTCAATTTCATTGTGGGAATTCCGTATTGCAGTAAGCCTCCAACTCGATCGTTTCTTTCGAAAACGGTGACAGTATGACCTGCCTTGTTCAGCTGGTGGGCACACGCCAGTCCGGAAGGACCCGATCCTACAACTGCGACTTGTTTCCCGGTTCTGAATTGAGGTATCTGGGGTGTGATCCATCCATTTTCGAAAGCGTGGTCAATAATGGCACACTCTATATTTTTGATAGTTACACTAGGCTCAGAAATGCCCAAAACGCAAGCACCTTCACATGGTGCGGGACAAACTCTTCCGGTGAATTCCGGGAAGTTGTTTGTTTGGAGGAGGTGGTTAAGAGCTTGCCTCCACTGGTTTTGGAAGACGAGGAAATTCCACTTTGGTATTATGTTACCGAGTGGACAACCATGGGAGTTCGACTGACAGAATGGGACTCCACAATCCATACAACGAGCGGCTTGGACTCTCAGACCTTTGCGGACATGACCGAAGTTGTAAATTTCGTCCCAGTCTTTCATTCGCTTTTCCGCCGGTCTGTACATCCCGGTTTCTCTTGGGTACTTCATGAACCCACGTACCTTGTCCAGTTTTTTCTGCTCCATTGCAACATCAGTGACTGCGTCCTCGATGTCTTGGATTTTAGGTTCGTGGTTTTGCTGCACGTTGTTGACCATCTGCTCGGTCGCTTTTTGTTTTAGGACACGTTGGTATTCGTACGGGAATACCTTGACGAATTCCTTTCGTCGTTCGTCAAACTCATTGATTAGTTGCTCGGCGATTACACTTTCTGTTAGGTCTTTGAATTCGTGGAGAAGAGTTTTGACAAGGTCGACGTCTTCTTTGTCTTCCAGTTTACAAAGTTCTACCAGTTCCGGGTTACATTTAGTGGAGAATTTACCATCGACGTCCCAAACGTAAGCAATGCCTCCAGACATACCAGCAGCGAAGTTGCGGCCAGTCAGACCCAAAATCAAGACAATACCTCCTGTCATGTATTCGCAACCGTGATCCCCTACACCTTCTACAACCGCTACAGCACCGGAGTTTCGCACAGCGAAACGTTCCGAAGCAATACCACGCATGTAAGCGCGACCAGAAGTGGCTCCATACAAGCAAACATTGCCCACGATCACGTTCAAATGAGATTCGAACGGCGATGTTTTGGGAGGGTATATGATAATGGTACCGCCTGAAAGACCTTTGCCTGAAAAAACATGATTAGTGTGGTGTTGGTTAACATCTGGGTATCAAAACGTACCAACATAGTCGTTTGCATCTCCTTCCAAAGTCACAGTAATTCCGTTAACCAAGAAAGCACAGAAACTTTGCCCAGCCGAACCATTTAATCTAATATTGATATGCTGATCATCGGGAAGACCTTGCTCATCGTATTTGCTAAAAGAACGAGTATATTTATTTGTTTTTTTGTGATGAAACTTCAACTAACCAAGAAATGTGGTAGCTAAGAGTGGAAGTGACAGCTCGACATTCGTTATTAATCTTCATTTCGATATCGACGGTCTTCTCGGTTCCATCAAGTACACCTTTTGCTTTTTCAATGAGGATGTTATCCATTCTGTTTTCTAATTGGAAGTCTTGAACTTGCGAAGCCCCTTTAATGTTAACCCCCGGACGCATATGCAGAGCATTCGTTAGGATCAGATTCAAATTGAGCATCTTAGCTTTAGCCGAACCTTCTTCTGATACTTTCAGCAAGTCAGTGCGACCTACCAATTCCTGGTAGGTCCGAACTCCCAGTTTCGCCATCAGTTGTCTAACTTCTTCCGCCAGCATGAACATGTAATTAATCACGTGTTCGGGTTGTCCCGTGAACTTCTTCCTTAGTATAGGATCTTGAGTGGCGATACCTACTGGGCAAGTGTTTAGATGACATTTTCGCATCATAGTACAACCCATTACGATTAAAGGCGCTGTGCTGAAACCGATTTCGTCTGCTCCGAGCAAAGCTGCGATGACCACATCAAACCCTGTTCGAATTTGGCCATCCGCTTGGAGCACGATTCGAGATCGTAAATTGTTTAGAACTAAAACTTGATGGGTTTCGGCAATGCCGAGTTCCCAAGGTAAACCAGCGTTCTTGATACCAGTCCAGGAACTGGCGCCAGTGCCACCGTCATGCCCGGAAACGACAATGTGTTCCGCTTTGCCTTTCGCTACACCGGAAGCTACGACTCCCACTCCTACCTCTGACACCAACTTGACGGAAATGCGCGCCCTCGGGTTGGCACATTTCAAGTCGTAAATGAGCTCGGCGAGATCTTCAATGGAGTAGATATCGTGATGGGGCGGAGGGGAAATTAAACCGACGCCTGCGACGGAATGTCTTGTCTTGGCGATTTCCGCTGACACTTTGTACCTGAAATGAAGTGTGTCATATGATCCAAAAATAAAATAATAGGACAAGTAAGCTTAATTTTAGAAATGGCTTTCAGAATTTCTTCAACATTGATGTCATAATTTGCACACAAAATGTTCGTATTAGAAGGTATATTAATAATAATCTATATATAAGTAATATTAAAACAGAATCACACAAGTGATAGATATAATGTGAATTTGAACATTCATTTGATGTTGTGGTGTCCCGATTTGAAAATTTAATTTTCGCGCCGAGAAAAAAAACCAACGCCGCAAATCCGTATTTAATAATTCCAGTAACGTATGCCTATATTTTAGTTACTCCTATTTTTTGTAACGTGTGTCCAATTAAAAATCTGGTCAAGAGGGCTGCCACATCTTGTTTTGATGGTGTGGGTGTAAACACGTCTTAAAATTGCGATAGCAATGCTTGCTAGATAGTAAGATGAGCATTATAGTGACAAGAAAGAAGGACAAACATGGGACAAACAAGATGATTAAATTATGCCACACTGTCAACAAATTTAGGCAACAAAGAATTTACATGATGTTAAATTATGTGCTAATTCAAGCTACTGATTTAATCAAAATTAAGTTTACTCAACAACATACGACACAGAATAAAGTCCACATGAAATAAACAGAGCAGGCGCAAATTAAATACGGTCAAGAATAAATGTTCAAATTCAAGCTGTGAGAAAATAATTTGGATGTAAGAATGCAGCACATTAGTATAATACAGAACAAACATAAAATGCACCTACATATCTGGTTGAATATAACGACATTAATTAGGTGTGTTAAGCTGCTTACCCTGGAAGTTCTCCACCTTCTCCTGGTTTGGCCCCTTGCGCCATCTTAATTTGAAGATCATCCGCATGAGCCAAATACGAAGAAGTCACACCAAATCGACCAGAAGCAACTTGCTTGATGGATGATCGCTTCTGTGGATCTAAATAACGCTCCGGATCTTCACCACCTTCGCCTGTGTTACTTTTTCCTCCCACTTTATTCATCGCAATCGCTAGAGTCTGATGGGCTTCCAAGCTAATAGAACCAAAGCTCATGGCACCAGTTGCAAATCGCTTCACAATTTCTGATGCGGGTTCTATTTCATCAAGAGGTAACGGCTCATCCAAAGTTCTTAGATCAAAACGACCTCGTAGCATACAGTTTCGTACAGATTCCATAGTAGATTCTCTGAATTTCTCATAAGCGGATTGGTTTTTATTTATTGCGGATTCCTAGAAGCAACCACGTTTACAATAGTCCAGGTTGTTACTTCCTTGGTCTTTACCTGTAGTGCCGCAATACTAGCTGGTTCGTTCAGATGTTTTTCGCCTCCAGCTCGCCAATGGAAGTTGCCTGTATCTCGTAAAATCAGTGAATCTGTAGCTATGCAATACGTATTTCCGTGTCTCTGAAACGCTTCCTGAGCTAAGGTTTCTAAAGTGACTCCTCCAATGCGCGAGTGTGTACCTACAAATTCATTTCAAATAAAAATAACATAGATCCATATGGTACGCAAGTAACCATGTCACCTACCTCTAAAGCATTTATCGATGACATCCTCCGCCAGCCCCACAGCCTCAAAGATTTGAGCGCCTTTGTACGACTGCAAGGTCGAAATTCCCATTTTCGCCATTACTTTGTTAATTCCAGTTTGCATAGCTTGCGCATAGTTCTGGAAAATGACTTCGTCGGTAAGAGAAGTGTCAAGTACTCCCTGGTCTCTCAAACTTGACGCTAGCTCGAGGGCTAAATATGGACAAATCGCATCAGCACCGTACCCCAGAAGAACGCAAACATGGTGAACCTCCCTCGCCTCAGCGGTTTCCACAACCAAAGCGACTTTCATTCGAGCCCGCATTTCGATAAGATGATGATGGACAGCACCTAAACAAAATAATCACATTTAATCTGTAAAACAAACAAGAGCTCTCAATATTTACCAAGAGCCAATAGACTGCTGATTGGAACGCGTTCGCTTCCCGCTTTGCGGTCGGACAGAACAATGATTTGGTTGTCTTTGCTCGCTTGATGAGCTTCTTCGCAGACGCTTTGCAGTTTCTTTAGGAATCCTACGGGCCCGCTTTCGACTGGAAAGGTGATATCGATTATGTGGGCGCTCCAGTTTCGATGGGTTGTTTGTTTCAAAACTTCGAGATCCACGATGGAAATGACGGGTTGTTTTAACCACAAGCGGTGGACTTGCTTGGGGTCTGGTCGGAGAATGTTCGCCTCGGGACCAATCGGGCATTGCAAAGACATTACGACTTTTTCTCTGAACGGATCGATGGGAGGGTTTGTAACTTGAGCAAAGAGTTGTTTGAAGTAATCGTAGAGAAGCGGAGCGAAGTTTGACAGGCAGGCTAAGGGGACGTCGTTGCCCATGCTACCTAGGGCTTCTTTCCTGGAATGAGTTGTTGGAAATATGGTGTTGTGGTTTGATGGAAACTTACTTGTTGTTGACCATTGGTAGCAGTAACATGTGAATGGTCTCGGTGGAGTAACCATAAAGGGAAAGACGTTTATCGCCAAGTCCGCTTGGTTCGTACTTTGGTTTAGATGAACGATTTGCTTCTAAATGAGTTTGTCTCAGTTCGTCCATAGTTATCTAAATTGGTTGAAATTATTACAGGGTTATAACAAACACGACGAAAATTGTGAGCACAAACTTAATATAGTACTTCTACAAATGGGTTAGGAAATTAAAATAACTACTAGAACGGGTTAATCACAATGCAATAAAAATATAAAAACTGTGGTCAAAACGGAAGCTTCAAAAAATAAAAGAAAATTTTAGACCAATAACCACTCCACTCACCATCTGTAGATCGCCATTAAACATGCAAAAATAAATTACGATTAATATGAAAGATCTTTACTGATAGTCTTCTATTGAAAGTTAAATTAAGTAAAGAAACTTAATTTTACAATTACCTGTTCTTTGAGCCATTCTGAATGTGGTCTAGAACGCGCAATTTGTTGTTTCAATTCAACGTCTTGAATGACCGATTTTTCCTGAGTGTCAACAAGCAACATTCTTCCAGGTTTAAGTCGACTCTTGAAAATAACCTGAGATGGGTCTACGTCATAGACGCCAACCTGAAAGACTGAATAAAAAAAAATCCAAAGCTTGTAGACAAAGTACCTCGCTGGCCATGATCATCATATTATCCTTGGTGATGTAGAACCGTGAAGGACGCAAACCATTCCTGTCGAGTATGGCACCAATAAACCGCCCATCAGTGAAAGAAATCAAAGCTGGTCCGTCCCATGGTTCCATAATGCAAGCCGCCCAATGGTAATAATCACGTTTCTCTTCAGACATCGTAGGGTCATTGTGCCAGGCTTCTGGCACCATAGTCATCACAGCCTAGAATTGCAAATCTAAATATGTTTCCAGTCCAATTCGCACCGAAAAATTTACCTCCGGTAATTTGCGATTACCAGCATGTACCAGGAACTCCAAAACGCAATCAGCTGAACCGCTGTCAGACAAATTGGGTTCAACGACAGGATACAGATCCTTAAGCTTCTCGCCATACTCTTCATTATACATAACACCTTCTCTGGCCTTCATTAAGTTAACATTACCACGCAAAGTATTAATTTCGCCGTTGTGAGCCAACATTCTAAAGCAGAAACGTCAATCTTCGAAAAACGATTAAAGTTTGTTACTAAGTACCTAAGCGGATGAGCTCTTTCCCAGCTGGGGAAAGTGTTCGTTGAAAATCTGGTATGCACCAAAGCTAAGTAGGTGTCATACAGCGGGTCAGCAAGGTCCGGGAAATAGGTCCAGAGTTGATCGGACGTCAACTGGCCCTTGTACACGATGGTTCTGCGGCTCAACGAACAAATGTAGAATCTTTTTCCAGATGAGGGAATGGTGTGGCTGGCGCGTTTACGCAAAATGAAGAAACGTCTATCCAACTCGTCCTCAGGGGCATCGCCCTTTACACCCACAAAAACCTAGTAAAAGTAGCTATGAATTTGCGAAACGACTATTTTGGATCAGTACTTGTCTCATAAATGGTTCGGTGTTCTTGGCGACGGTACCTATGGAGGAATTGTCGGTTGGTACGGTACGCCAAGCCAGCACGGACATATCCAGTTCCTCTGCCAAGGACGCGAACTTCGCTTCGAATTCTTGGTGGTGGAGTTTATCCAAGTAGAATATCCCAGTTGCGTACTTGCCGAAAGGAGGCAACTCGATGTTTTGCTCATCTCTGGAAAATCACGCGTTTGAAAGGCGCTATTTGTTTTCGGGTAATTAAATTTTCTGGGGGCGTTTGAGTGCTACGTAATTAAATGTAGATTCAAAGGAAATGTAATTTTATTTTAGGGCTATTAATTTGTTAAAGTATAATTATCGTCTGTAAACATTGTCTTTGTAATTATTTAATAATTGCATTCAGGCGCATTTCGCTTGCTCGGGTTTATCACTGTTGTAAAATTATTTATAAAAAAGGATTACCGCTTTTACTTTCAAGGATATCGACTTATAAAGCAATTAAAAGTGGGTATGCGTTTGTTATTACTGGATGCAATTGAGCACTAAGACCAAAATTAAGCAATATGGGCAACAAAATAATAAAAACACCTTTCTAATCCATAAAATAAAATAAAATAAAGGGACTAGAATAAACTACACAGCCTGCGAACATGAAATTACACAATAAATGTTGACACGTAAAATAAAAAAAAAATGTACTCAAAATAACAATAAGAAATAACATGGGCTGGTAAGCGTGATCCAATTTAACCGTCTGTCGCGAAATTGCCCTATTTCGCTTCGTTAGAATATACCAAATGACTATTAATGTTCGTGATTTTTTTGTCAGGTTGGCAATATATTTAAAATTTTATGATGGCATGTCAGAATTGACAACTATGGATCGACATACTAGCAAGGCTGCCAACAATTTAGAATTGCCAACACAAAAATTTGTAATACATAGGAGTAATTAAAAAGTCTAACTAAAGTATACAATTTTTTCCATAATAAAAAAACATTTACTGTATTTTCCCGCTATTGTAGCTCTACAGTTAATTTTTGTCCACACTGGATAAATTAATCGCAATAAATCATCGAATTGAATATCAAACGGGTAAAGGTAAAAAACAGCAACAATTATTAATATAGATTTACGTCAATATCAACCTTGCAGTAAAGGTAAAAAACACTATTAACTCTGACCTAATATTTCTTAACGAAAAACAATCGTTACAGTAGGAATAAAAAAAATATTATCTGATAAATTCCATTTTTTTTAAAGAAAAAACTGGTGAATGGTACGGATTGTCAACGATCAATATAGCATGAGATGAGTGCTTTGGTTTTTCCAAATATCTTTTTTATTTAGAACAAGAAACTTTCCGATCTAATCCTTAAAAGTCAATGTTTATACAGAAATTACCATAAACCTCGACTTGTCATTGATCTATTTCTTGTAAGTGGTAAGTATGTATTAGAGGTAAAACAAAAGATGGTCATTGAAACAACAACTCTAAATAAAACGAGGAGTATATTTTTTTACCACTGTTCTTTAATTAAACTTATTAAAATTTTTATTGCTACTAAACACATTTATTTAAATCAAGCTAATTCTTGTAAACCATTAGATTACGTATGGTTTCTATAGGTATTAAAAAACCACAAAGCTAGAAAACATGTATAGATTAAGATCAATAAGCCAACAACGACATTTTTATAGAAACCCTAAAAAAGAGTCTGGTCAAACAGTTGCTTAGTTTTTATTGATACAGCCACCTTATACCACTTTCAGCTTTGAAGCGCTATGATTGGTAAATTTAAAAGCTGAAGGGAACTATAAGCCAATGCAGAGAGTCGTTTTAATTTATTTTATTTTCAAACGTTATATATATAACTGACACTTATATGACGTTGTCACCGGGGTTTAAGTGCCATTTCTATGCCAGCGTGTTTGAGCCGTGTATAACTACTACTCCTCCAGAGTATAAAGATCGATTTATAAACTTTTGCAATTAAACTCCACCCTCTTGGCTCACGACGAATAAAAAATCATCCGAATTGAGATGGGGCGGGTGGGCGGGGCTTATATTTTACCTCCGCCCCTAGGTCTCCAACGAAAGAACACTTCATTACAATTTAGAGCAGGGCAGGTATGGATGGGGCTTAATCTTTGGCTTTATTTTTTTCTTAATACATATACACAATATTCTTGGAATAACACGACATTCAAAAAGATGTTTTTAATTTCTCGTATAGAAATAAAGATTATATGTGGTATGGACTTAATTCGCCTCGCTATCGCTCGGGGTTTAATCATCCATACTCCGTCACATAAAGTATCACTTAAACTCCTAATAAAATAAATATCTATTGTTATTTGTTCAAAGAATGTGACCCCTAATGCTTTACAATTTAAAAATGATACCTATTATCTATTAAACTTCTTCAGTATTACAATGTATGCCGAAGATCGATATCAATTATGACAATGATGACAAAAATACTTGCCATATTTAGATCGAAAATTTCTTGTAGAAAAAGAACAAATTCTAAATTACATAGTCATAGTAAAATTATGACAATTATTATTTTTTCCATAAAATAAAATAAATTAATACTGACTGGCTTTATTCTCTTATTTCCCTTAAGTATGTTTATTTTCTTCTGAAACAATTTTTAATTATCTCCCGTTACCTTTAATATAAAATGAAGCCTTTGGCCAGACTCTACATTTTTATTCAAAAAGAAGCCATCATTTGAACAAATCTTGCCTTATAGTGTGTTGATAGTGTTGATAGAATGACATTTCATTAAAAAAATATTAGAATAGTGTCATGCATATCAGGTGTTCTATTGCGTGATCAACGTAATAGATAATAAGTGGCTTAAAAAATGATTTGATTTTAGATAATTTCTTACAGGTGAAGTGGATCCACTCATTTCTGTTATGGAATTTGGACCCAGGCAAGGCTGACGATCCGACTGATATCTGGGAGTTAAATTAATACATACGCAGGAAAATACATGCTCTTGTTAAGTGCACGTAAAATTCTCAAGTTTTTAGCTGCAAGATTTTATCTGTAACGCGTGAGTCAAAATAGCATGCGATAATAAAACAAATAAACGAAACAATAAAAACGAAAACATCGTACGAAAGTCATTAATTTATATTTCAGATATAAGGGTTAAGGTTTATTTTGTTGGTTTTCGGAACCCCGAGGTAATGATTAATATGGACGGATGGGGCCGTTAGAGGTGAAATTCTTGGATCGTCGTAAGACGGACAGAAGCATCTGTACGTGCTTAATAGTCGAATTCTTTCGATTTATGTATAAGCGTAAAAAGTCAAAGTTAAGCTTTTGATTTCTTGGCAAAACTTCCAAGAAGTCCGTTATATAGTTATTTAGATATATTATGAAATAAATATGTTTCTATAAATTCCCTTTTTCATGATAAATCCTGTTGGCGAAGTTTATGTCAAAATGTATTGCAAGTAAGGTTTACTTTGCATTTTGAAATGACGCCAACTTTTCGGTAGAATGAATAAACAAACTTTGCTTATCGTTTTACCATCTCCACAATAATCTTAATGTACACATAAAATTTCAGAGCAATCGATTTCGGTGGTTTCTGAATTATTTGTTAAAGTAAAAATTATCTGTAAGACAAAACAAATAATAAATCATATATCATTCAAGGGTTATGACTATGAGTATGGAAAACTCGTAAACTTTGTAGTATGATAAATGAACAGAATTCAAGTCATAATTTTGTCATACAAAAATGATTTATGTGTAAATCGTTCTCAATTATCCACATATGGAGTCTGTCGATTTGACAGATTTTATGGCTAGTGTCTAAACCGTCTTAGATAGGATCAAGTACTGAGACATGTCAATCTTTGCGGCCATAAATTTCGCACAATTCCTAAAAGTGGATTGATAAAAACGAATTAGAGAAAAAATCACTTACATACATTAAATTATAGTGTGTATGAACATTTATTTTAAAATTGTCAAAAATAAAATTTTGTGATTAAAAAAAAAGAAGCTAAGAAACCAGATCGCTTTTGACCATAGAACAATTATTAGTCACTTGCACTTTTTACCTTAAAATGAAATTTTTATAATAACAATGGAAGTCCTACGCTCTCCAACAGATACCTACTGCAAACTTTGCACACAATGTACACTTTCGACTTACCATAAAAGCCCGACTACAGAAACAATGCTCAATACCTGCATTAATAAAACTTGCATACCTAAGCTTGACGGAATAAAAGTCATGTGGAATGGCGGTGAGGACTCCGGCGCCGTCTCCAGTGTCATTGTCACAGGCACAGGCGCCACGATGGTTCATAGAAATAGCAAGACGCTGGGCATCGCGTACTATCTTATGGGAACGACGACCGTCTATGGCAACTATAAAACCGACACCACAAGCCTCCTTTTCAAGCTGAGGGTCGTACAAGCCCTGTTTTGGCGGACCTTGCCACGCTTCAGCCATTTAACCACTGGAACGAAAACGAGACTGGTTAACTTTCTAAAATTTGACGAATTCCAACTTCAAATTTAAACTGTACTTGTAAATTATCGGCAACTTTATCTCTAGGTATATACTTTTATAGTGTAGTAAAGTGATGCAAACTTTATGGCGCTGTTGTAAATTAGAAGTGTGATAGACTTGTGCTGAACACGCTTGCATATGGTGGGACGAAACGCATTCCGTTTTAACAGACCCAAAGGTAAATTTAGCACCTTTGTCGTTATGCGAGGAGTACGGAAACTGCAGTTGTTAATATTAGGGGAAGTGGGTCTCATGTCGCTGGACTAAACAAGAATTTCAACTTTCGCATTTAAGCAGCATTTCTTAAATTGGGAAAAAAATAAAACAAGACACTTTAAGTTAGCGTCTGGCTTAATTAATTTTCGACTTGTCGAATTTTAAAAGCGGTTAGATTTAATGAAAGGCGTAATTCCATGTTTTCTTTTATGTTTGTATTTTGGCAATATTTTACACGTGTTGTCTGTACCACCTAAAAATAATGAGAAATTAGTTCAAAACATATTTGTTTACTTGGCGGTGATTACACTGAGTGACGAACCGATGATTTATTTTAAAAATTTATTTATGCTGTTGCAAGGAACAAAATGTAAATAAAGTGATAAAATATTTTGACTATCTAAAATGTCGTGTATCAACTAACAGCCACAAAATTGTGCGACATATGTATGAACTGATTGATCTACATTTTTTGTTATGTAACATCTGTTATTTATAGCTATTCTAAGATGTTTTAAAAATTGTCTTCACAATGTTATGCCATGTTATAATTCTTGCACCCAATTCAAATATTGACTACTTCAACTTTAGTAAGTAGAAATTGAGTCAAAGTTCTAAAAATTGCAGCACTGCAAAAACATGGGTATGTATACATGCATGTAACAATAACTCACTCAAAATGTTACCTAACTAGTTTCTGGTGTTTTATGTTACCTCAAATACATGTACTATAAAGTAATTAGCTGTGTTAAAGTATTAGTTCATGATGTTTACAGAAATGAAAGACGTGTTATCTGCATGATAATGCAAATAGTTTAATGATCCACATGTTGAAATTTGTAGGTGCTAACGATAAATAAATTGTGCTAATTTAACAACCTCAATATCTGGTGTATTTCGGCTAGATGTGATTTTAATACATGATTAGTACGTTTCCATGTAATTTTGAACACCTACCCTTCTGGTGTCATGAAATTTAATATGTCACCGTTTAATTAGAACCATGTCTTGACATCTTCTCTATGAAAATGAATAATTCGAAATACACCGCTGAGCTACTTTGAATCGATTTATTTTTAGTACGATTTAAATATAATATTTTTTTAAAGATTGAGGAAGTGGGTCACGTTTGCTATAATAAGGAAGAAGTTACCAGTACATTAAGCTCGTGGGAAATCAAATAAAATAAATGTTTCCTGAATATCGTGTGAATAGCTACTTGAGCTTTGTGGAAATCGATAGTCGCTAAATGAACGAGATAATACCAGTTCGGCAGATAGATCTAATTGCAGAGTATGAATCACTGAATTCTAATCATAGCTGCAGGTAAGAAAAAACTGTAAAAAGAGCGAAGCTTGTGTTTTGTATTAGCGGCATTGATTTTGCAAAGTGGGTTAGTTACTGCGCATTTATTGAATTTAAAAATAATACCATCTATAGGCAGAACGTTGACTTGAGATGCTAAGTACATTTTATCGTATGATAAGTAACAATAACAATGGGGCAAAGTTCATATGCAAAAAATCACGAAGTTTGATTGATGAAGTGGTAATCGATAGATCAGCGATGATGTTGATAAGAAAATGAAATTGTTAAATAAGTAGAAATCTTATCACTTTAATTTGATTTTATTCCGTTATGAAATATGAACAATCATTCCACGACACGTTGTATTATTTATTTACGAATTTACAATGTAAATAAATTTGGCATTTAGCAGGTTTACTGAGATACGTTTTGGCATGAATCCAACGACATTATTTTCCCGACTTTCATTTGCATTGTAAATGAATAAAATAGTCTGGGCGCCAGCACCATCGGATGGACTTTGAACGAAAAACGTAAAACTAACCGAAGGTTTACTTAAGCCAGATCACAGAAAAAAAGTTAAACTAACCGGAGGTTTACTTAAGCTAGATCATTGAAAAAAATAAAAAAAATATATTGTAAAAACATAGTTGTTAAATTAAAAAAATACCTGTTTCTTCTACCAAATAACTGAATTAATTAACTAAACAAAAAACTTATACTCGTCGGAAAGAACTTTAAAACTTTACGGAGCGGGTCTTTTATTTATACTAAAGACTATCGTTGTAGTGCTTCTAGTTCCCCCACTAATTTTTAGAGATAAGTATTACATATTTAGAAATCAAAACTTATCTGCATCGAAATTATGTCAATGTTCAGTGTAATGTTATGAAATCGTCTCCACCCAAGTGTGGTCTAGACCGTTGACCAGCCTGTTTAAAATGAATAAATCAATTTACAGCAAATTTTGTCTGCCCAAATAAATGCGTTATATTTTAAACTACCACAGCTACCATCAATGCAAATCTTATCAATTACGTTTTAAGTATTATTTAACCTTGACACTACATGAGGTTGTGTTTGTTAGGTTGTAATTCCTACATGGATAAGTGAAGTGGTTTTTTCTTTACTTTTAATAACAAGAAATGTATTTATATGGTATCAAGTATCCAGAGTGTGGATCGTGGTGGTAGACACTTCCCTATAAAAATAATTGCTTAATAGTGTATATCAATCGACATTCCAAACAGTAGCATGTGACCACAGTGAAAACACTGTAATCCACTTAAAAATATTACAAAAGCGACACGGCTACAACAGCCATCACTTATCGCGCCACCAAGAACCAAAAATATTTTGCGTGTTCCTTTGGCACATCACATGAGCTTTATTTAGCATCTTTATCCATGATTAATTACTTTCACATGAACTAAAATATCATTTTGTGACAATTGACGTCAAATAAAATATTTAAAATAGTACTATCAAATGCATGATTCTTCCGAGTGATCTGCTCTTGACGTGGAAATTTTTCAAATTACAAAAATGCGTGCTTTAATTACGCTGCTGATTAGTGATTTGTGATAATCTCAACAATAATAAGACATCTAACCACCACGCCGTGGATGAGTGAACATATGAAAAAATCAATTCCGTTTACTTTATCGCAGTTAATTTTCTATGATAGATATCATCTTTGCACTTAATCAAAAAAAAATTACAAACAAATCTGCAGGGGGTCAGATTAAACAACAACAAAGTCGTATCACGGGACAGGGTTAAATTATCTTGCTTTTATTAAGCGTAGGTCAATTCCAATTACAGCAACTGTGACGTCGAACTGTTTATTATGTTGCTGGTTCATTAAATTTCAGATAAGGAGAATTTTCGGAGCACTCTATGAACCCGACCGATTTGAATGAATGAAAGCGAGTTTAGGTATCTGATTTTGAACGCCCTGCTGAAATGCGGGAAGCACCAACAGGATTTCTGCGCTTCCCCATTCAGCATGAACGACAACGAAGGAGTAATAAAAGACGAATCCTTGAACTTAATCTTGATGTAAATACTTGCAGTCATACGCAGTTTACTTTTAAACATCAGACAAGAATTTGCTGCACGTGGTAAATCTGGCAGTCTGTGCCCAACTGGCGTAATCAGAAAACGAAGATCTTTGGACCCATTGTTTTGGCAAACTGTCAGAAAAATATCATATTTATTTTCTCCTGTGGAATGAATTAAAGTAGGGCAAGTGCAGCTGTTGTAAAATTTGACGTCATAATGGGTTTTAAATAGATGTTTGTCTTTTCTAGTTATTATTAAAATTTAAAAATTTCGATTTCGTTGGTACCTGTATACCTACTTGTCTAAATATTTGCAAGCAGAAAATTCAATTTTAAAGTATACCAACGTTTATTAAATTAACACTTTAATTTATCTGTAAGAGTTTACTTTTGGACAAGGTTTTTTCTACTTTTTAGTGATAGACCTTTAAAGTTTACTTAAATCGTATCTTTTTGAGTGTAACATGATTACGATTTAAGTTCTGCTGATGCTATCAAATGTTCGCAGTAAAATCAACAGGACTGCAACAGCTCGATCACGGATTATAATATTGAAAATAAATTATGAAATACCGCCGTTGTAACTAACTGATACACACTTATCGATTAGGTATATTAAAAAGATAATATTAAATAACTTCATCTGAGCACTACAGCTGCGTTTTCACTGAACTGCATTTATACCTGTATGTATATAACATCAGTTCATAAAAGGAGTGTGTAGCGCGATCAGTACCCCTAGCGCCCTCTGTCACGCCCACGCACCACCACTACCCTGCCGCAGCACCCCGGTACTCGCTCGCTCCCTTACCAGAGGGCGGTGCGCCCTTTCACTCCCACGCGACGCATTTCTAGCCGCCTTTACATAGGACCCGAGCGGCCAGATTCGGCAAGTTTTTCCATCTGCGAACTTCACAGCTCATTTGCGTATCACCTTGCATCCGAGGGGTCTTGGAGGTCCAAATCGAGTAGTAAGTCGGCTTGAGTATCAGCGGCGTATCCGAGGGGTCCCGCAGGTCCGGCCGTGGAAAAACGCTCCGGGTGTTCGCGAGTGTACGAGTTATCAGGACTGTTCGTCCGCGGAGTGACCATTTTTAAGAACTCGTGTAACCAGTCTATGTCTATGCAGTGCATATACTATGTTTTGTTGAATAAAGTTTTTACGGAATAAACCACGTGTTATAAAAAGTGGCGCCCAACTTAGTGGCACGAAGAAGGCGTCTGTTATAAAAAGTGACGCCCAACGAAGCGGCCCGAAAACGACCACAATTTCGCGAAAAACGAAGATTCCGACGCGAAGAAGTCCGCGAACCAACATCGGGATGACGATTCAAATGTCCGCAGAACAATTCAACGAACT